GTGCACAAACTAGTTTTCAAGTGACAAGCGCATGCCTACTTACCTTACGTGAAACACAAATATGTAGGTGTAGGTTATCGAAACGACACCACTCTAGTTTAACCGCTTAAAAATAATTGAACTCCCAACAGCCAGTAAGTAAAAAAAGGAAAACATTGTTTCCCCGGATGCAAACTCATTTTGTTGGTGATGAGTAAATGGGCGTAGCTACCGTGAAAGAACTCCCCTGCTCTGACAGTGACTCGTATTTGTATAAGGTAAGCTAAAGATGAATCAGCAGTTATTTCACCGTGCTAAATAACTCGCTCTAGTTGAGACACGCTTTAGTTACGGCAATCCAATACATCCGTCGGTAAGCGAGCATAGGGTATCCAACCCACAAATGTTGTAATTATGGAAGAAGAAAAGAAACTGTAGACGGCTGAACAGCAAAAAGAGTTAAATAAAATCGAAGTGCACCAACGAACCGACAGGGCAGGTTGAAACGAGCAGTACATGCAGACGCTTGGTGTGAGGAAAGGTGTGTACATGTCGATGATTCAAGCATGACAAACTCCTAGTGTGTGTTCTCTGGCGAAATAGCCGCATTTAGTAAAAAGAAACTACATCGGATGAGTTGTTTGATGGCGCTTCATAGTTTAAAAGTAATAGCACGTCATCACGGCCGGTTACAAGGTCACGCCACAAAGCGGACATACCACACAAGATTAGTGGATACCGGTCGGTGCACGTAGAAGAAAAGCTATACGAGTACCTCAAGTTATATATATATATATATATATATATATATATATATATATATATATATATATATATATATATATATATATATATATATATATATATATATGATAATAATGGAGCCAACGCCCAGATACGGTTGGCTGCATCCGTCTCCGGATTTGTCTGTCACTGCGGCCTCCACAGGGACAGCTACAGGAGGCCTGCGCCTACAGAGGAGACCATGGATGGCTTGCGCTGCACCACCCACAGCTCCATCCACGCACCCCATATCCAGTGTAAACCCGAAGGAATAAGACCGGAAGGCATGTGGATGGGAGCCAGGTTTCATCAACGGAGCCGGTCCACACTCCCTCACATGCAAAACAAGCACGCTGTATTTGGGGATCAAGCGTACACAATACGGTGGCTGGACCGTAGTCCGCTCCACACTGTGTGCATGAAACCACTCTTCGAGCCTAACACGGCCACGAGGACCGTGTACCCCGTCCCCTCCAGCAACGACCAACTGTTTCCTAGAGCCAGTATGGACGAGGTAGTGGGTAATAGACAGGTAGGTACCTTGTCAACATGCACATCAAGCGCAGCCACACCGGGGATATCAAGCAACAGCCAGTCACCAGAGAGAAAGATGACAAAGACAACAAATCGAGTAATGCATAAGGAAACGGTGACATAAATTGTAAATTAAGGAGCGTATGAAATAAGTTGTTTACAAACGAATCCGAGGTAAGTTCACGAGGTCGGAAAGCATATTTTACGGAAACGACACAAACACGAAAATGTTATCGAAATTAACTGCAACTGGCTTAAGCGACGTGTGCAAGTGTATAGAAGAGAGTACAGGTAGACATTTGTATGAATAAGAAAAGTATTAGGACAAAATTGAAAACCCACCATCTGAAATAAAGAGACTTAGCACGCAAGCAAGCGGTTAGTAAATCGAATGCAGCGTACCTACAAACGCTGCGCCGGTTCTGACTACGTTCTCTGCAGGACGCGTCGTCACTTCGGTACTGGTCCCGAGTGGCCTCGCTCATGCCTCACTAGGCCTGCCTAACTCAGGCACTCGCGACCGCGTGTGCTACAGAACCATGCGCTCGATGTCGATGGAGTACAACCCATCGGTTCTTGCCTCAAGCAGAATGATGTGAAGACGAGTCTGGCGGACGTGTCGACACTGGATGAGACACAGAGAGCACTTGCTCAACGGTGAAACGGAAAGTGTGCCGGGGCCGACAGGATCCTGCCTGAAGTATTGAAACACGGCGGACCCGCATTGTTGACTGCGCCGCACCACTTGGTGCAACGCGTATGGATTAAGGAGAAGGTGCTTCCTGAGCTGAAGGATGCCCTTGTGCTACCACTGTACAAGGGCAAAGGTAGCAAGCAATGTTGCACGAATTATCGTGGTATCAACTTGCTGAGTTGTGTGGGCAAGGTGATTGCCCGAATCCTGCACAACCTCCTCGTCAGTCGGGTTGTGGAACCAAACGTTGATCGGCGTGCATGGCGCGATCTAATCACGAAGGCAGTTGCCGAAGTGGGGGAGAAAGACCTCATACATGCAGAGAATTCCACATATACCACTTCAGTTAAAGGTAGGATTTTGTGTCCACATGCAGGCAGCGGTCATTTAATAGGCCCCAATGTTTCATCGGGATGTGCGGCCAACGTACTAGCCAGATTGGTGTGGGGACATGCGTGTGTTGGTTTGACACTTAAATAGGAAAGACGAAGCCGGATGTCAGAGGCTAATTCTGAACGGTTGACACCGAGCTAGTAGGAACATGGTGCACACGTTCTGTGGGTACACCGTTCTCAATCTAGTTATGTTTGGTTAATGAAGTAAACAAGAGTCCCCACTATTTTGTTCTACCTCCTACACCTCAGCAGAAAATACATCCAACGGCAACCCTCCAGACCTTCGTATGATCTGTCTAAAGATATCGAAGTCGGGAAATTGTCAGCACCATCCTGGTTTAGAAACACGTGTTAAAGATGGTGTGGATAAGTCAGTGAAAAGTCATACAACGACTGGTGCGCGTGTAAAAATTAGCACCATTCTATGTCTGCAAGATTTAAGAGTGCCCAGAGGAATCCCGGCAGTTGTGCATGGGGGTGGCGAGTACTCCTCCAAGGGCGCCGCAGCTACGCGTTGTCTGGCACCTCCCGAGAGATTTTCATCTTTCGGAGAGATTTAATATCCGCAAAAATATCGTTTAAGGAAAAAATTCAGGTCATGTAGAAACATATTTTTAGTTCATTGGCACACAGTTGCCAATCAGTACAAGATCTGTTATTTTGGTTCGAAATGGACTACTTCTTGGCTTAGAACAGTTCGTCTCAGTAGAGCGCAAGCGTATCATTGAACATTCTTGGGATAAAACTTGTTGATCAGAATGCGCACTATTTTTCCAGCAAGTTAACAAAGGATCTTGCATTGCTGAAACATAGTTGGGGATTTCGCATTTTGATCAGTTATGTTGAATGAATTTGGAATCCTTGTATTATTTCAAATGTGTCCAGGTAACACGTGGTGCTTAGATCGTTTCCCGTACAGTTGAAAGTTGGCCACTACGCTAGTTGCAACTGTATGTTGTGGTAAAACGTTGAGGTCCTGCGACTGGAACGTCTGAGACTTCAGATATCTCGATTCGATATGATGTTAAGGTAGTTAAATGCACGTGCATTATTGCCCTCTTGCTGATGCACATCGTATTCAACAGTGTAGACCAAATAATAATCAAATTCGTTTGTCCAATCTTACAGTGTAGCGAACATTGAGTGCAAGGGTGTCCCATGTGCCTTGTGCAACGTTCGTCAGTAGGATTGTTCAGTAGAAATAAGTGAGCATCAACGGTTTTCGACACTAGAGTCGTCTTAACTTGCACGTAAGTCAGCTGATAAATGTCAATGAAGTTAACTATGTGATAGATGGAGGAACAGCCTTGCTAATCCGTTGATATTGAGGGCGACGTGCATTGCCATCGGACCAAGGGAGCATGCACGCATACATCTCCCCATAGTTTCCTGTATGAGTCCATCACATGAGGTTAAAAGATGAACAGACGATCAGCTGCACCATGCACACACTCAGCACACACTCCTCTAGGACAATTCGGTCTACTGTATGGTACAAAGAACACTAGTGGTAACACACGCACAACCAGACCTATACAATCCTTCACATCGCGATTTAAAGGACCCGAAATGGCCCAATATGCAACAAGCAACCATACGGTCAGTAGTTTATTACGTCGATTGTCCCAAACCTTGCGTAGATTGGCCAGTAGAGATTGTAGAAGATTGTAGGTTGCTTTATCTCGCTCAACAAACTGATGTGGTATCTTGGCTTCAGCATATACTGCCAACTGTTCACTTCGACCTCGTTGATTGTACCCACAGCTGTGCTGTAAACGAAACAGGGCTATCATGGATGAGAGGTGGAGTACTGGTGAGACACCTACATGGGACAATTAAGTGCACTAGGATGTAGCGTAGACTGTTCCATAAAGTTGCACAGTGGGCGCAGTGCTAGTGAACGGGTCCAGTGGACCAATTTCCATGCTACTAAAGGACCATCAATGACTCAAGAATCCTGTTGGGCCAAAGGTAACATGAGCCAACAGGGTAAGTTAGCCTTGGATTAACCAGAAATCATGAGATCGTTGCTCAGCTATTGACGATGGCTGTTATGAGCAAGCGCGAGGAGCCCGATGGATTGTACGTCTGCAAATGAGTATGCAGTTTGCCTAAGAAGGTCATCTTGGGTGTTTGGATGACGGTATTTCTGGACTGAGGTTTCCCATCCGGTTTATGATAGTAGAATAAACCAAGATAAATGTAACTAGCAAGCGAAAAATGTTCATCTACCGGCAAAAAGGGATATAGCAACCGCCGAATAAACAAATTAGACTAACGCGAAATGTGTGCAGGTACTTGAGCAATGAAAACCGACCAACAGGAATACCTTGATGGACATAACGGTCGCCTATCCCTCAGTGGCTCATAGCAACTCATAGAAAATGGTTGTTAATGGTCAGATCCAAGACTGACGAACAGATCAAATGGTATAAATGTTTAGTGCGCTGCAAAATACAGGGCTCTCTGCGACTGGAATCGGGGGTAAGGCATTCGGGACGCAATCGTAGGTACTCACATACAAATCCAGACCCTGAAATATGGCGGGGACTCATAGTGAATTTTACGGTTTGAAAAGATTGTACATTACGATCGAATTACGGTTATTCGCTTACCGATCTTGTGTTCCATGTTGAAGTTCTTTCCGGCGTTGGCAGCATTCTTCTGGTCAGCAAACATTCTCAAAGTATGGCACTGTTTACCACGAACGTCTAGTTCCAGAAATGCTCTTTTAAGTTCCAAAAGTTGTCTTGACGAGATGGAGTAGGCGATGGGACTGACGTAAGTGGCCAAAAATTTATCATGTGAAATTGCCCTTGCAGAGATTTCTAAGTGACGCGGAGAGGATGGTTCTAAAACCTGTAACAGAATAATCAAAATTATAAAACCACCAATGGATAACAATCTACATGGTTGTCACACTTTCCGGCACCAGCAAAAGACAGAGTAAACTACTGCTTAAGTCCAAAAGTGCTCACGTTCATTACCCCATATAACAACTAACAACTTGGCCACCACAACACGAGGGCTATTCACTCAAGAGTTTTATCGTACGCACGGGACACACTGTTATCAGAGCCATGTTAAGGAAAGCTTTGAAACTGGAAGGTGCAAAGGAAAGCGAAGACACACACAAACAGTTGTTACCTGTTTAGTAGGGAGTAGCGCGTTCTTCCACCGAAGTGATAACAGAGAAAACGCACAAAACCTGTCGTACTTTTGGGTATAAATTTAAGCAATCAATTAAGGCATCCAAACCAGGGGTAGGACGAAAGACTAGACTGTGAGATGCATACAGACTAGACTCAGTCAGATAGGAAACAAAGGCCAGGAATAGCATGAACTGACAGCTTCGTAAGCAGTGTGGATTCCCTCAACCAGTTGGGGAATGGAAACTTTGGACTCATTATCGTGAGAGAGGCCAATGGATACTAAGTAGGAAGCTGTTTGCTTGTTCGGCTGCGATACCCTACAAGCTGTATTATCTACTCTTATAAAGTCCAGTTGTAATGACTGGATTGGATTTTTACTACCTCGTACCGTTAAGCAAGAAGGTACTACCATCATGAAGCGTGCGCCAAGGGTGAGATTATCTCCGCCCCCTACCAAGTGGCCATTCTGCTGCAACTCATAAGGAATAAAAAGCTATAATGGAAGACAACTACAGTAACCACAATGCTTTGAGACAGGTAGACGCCATTCGAGTATAGTATCCGGTTACAGATAAAAGCATGTAGTGCTTGCAAGACATTTGATTGAACAGAAAGAAACCGCCTTAGTACTGGCTTTATTTGTTTCGTAAAGGCAGAGCTCCAAAATCGGTTTAAAATCTTTGGTACTACAATGGGCACTCCATCTCCCTTCTGTGTATTCGCTGCCAGTAATGTCAAGTTTGATAACTTGTGGTCATTTGGTAGCGAGCAACCATTACAAAGTATTAGTGCACATTTGGTGACGTTAATGCTGATGAAGTACAGCTTTTGGGAATTGTATATAAGACACTATGTGACCACTACCAACGCTAATGTGTATTTGAACGGAAGTATAAGCGGGATTCAGACCAATTAAGTGGGATTCACCACCACCAAATCTGTAAAAACAGTAACATCTGAAAAGCTATGGAGGACTGCTTTGTCCTTTCTGGACCCACCGGTAACACGCGCACCTCCGGCCCGTTTAGTGGACCGAAACGATGAAAAACTTCTGCGATTAGCCAGTGAAGCTCTCGGGCCGTGACGGACGACAGCGGCAGGCGTGAGTGTCGCCCAGTTGGAAGGTAACGCGACCAATAACTTGAACGTGACACCTTGTCGGAGAATGGAGCAGTAGCCTCAAACTACGACTTCTCAAAATTACGCAGTCAACCAACTTCTAGGAGCATATACAGAGAGAAGTGTCAGTAAGGAAGTAAGGGGTTTGTATGGGTTACTTACAGTGGTGGGCGAGCCATGTCATGTCACAACTGGTTGAACAGTGACATCGGTTATCGGCATCAACCGAGGTGCCGATACTAAGGTCCATACTCGCGAAAGTTGGGACACCGTCTCGAACTCATCAATGAGTAAAGCAAACGCAAGACGCCGATACAGCTGGAGTAAAAATTACCCAGCAAGCAGACCTCTTGGTATTGGTGTCTATCCGATTGGGTTCGACGATGGATTTCGCAAACAAGGATAATCCAATGGTTTGTGTCTAGTTGTATTTTGCAGGGTATTCAGAAGATCACAATTAACTGAATGATGTTCACAACTGGCCACCTGAGATTCACTTTGATGACTAAAAGTTGATGAAAAGTCGGTTCAATGGAGAAGGAAGCGGACCGTCAATGGCTTACGCAACACGTCACCCTAGTACTGATCATGTGCATGGTCCAACGTGCATTATTAGCCAAAAGGAAGGTCCGATGACAGAAAACTCTAAGCCGATTAGCTCATTGGTGTTCAGATAGTTGAGTTGCGAAATTGCATCGAGATCAGTATGGAAGATGGCCCTGAACGAGATGTATAGGAATCATAATAATGATTCCAACAAGGTATGCATACTGACGCAATGGAATTAGGATGAGAGGAAGTCAAACCAGCGAAGAACACGGCAGGTGTTGGACGGTATATGGTGTATGTGATGTGTTGAACTCGCCTGTGGCTTGAACTGTTCGCGTAATGCGTTGCGCAGACAATCAGTCAGCTCTTTTGCAAATTGTGTGAGGTTACCCATCACCGGCCTGTTGGTAACAACACCATTGTACCAAGCGGGGTAACTGGGGAGAAAAAGGAAAATATATACGGACGCGGCCACTATTCCAATGTTTAAAATTTCTCTATAAACAAAAGTTCACGTTACCCTTCAGCTTGTGAATAGCACACAATAAGAAAAAATTGTGAAGTGCTCTCTTCTCTACGAGCTGGTACAAGTTCAACTTCTAGCCTAATCAATAAAATCGGCCATGTTAGGTGATGTTTCGCAATTTAACAAGAGAATAGTAACTAGTGGTCACTCACTTTTCGGATACAACTACGCCGTCGTTTTTCAACAGTGTCTTAAAGGCTTGCAATCGCTTGTACTTCTCCGCGTGCTGTTCCTCGAAGTCAGGGAGGTGGATTTCAGGTACACTCCTGAAAGTCAGGAAAGATTTAGCTTGGTTATATTGTTTTGTCAATTTCTCAAGTGACTTTGCAATTCGCTCAGAGAGAGGAGACCCTTGCAACGCCTGTAGCCACCGAGTGGACACTAAAACCGATGATAGTGGAGATAAGCGGAGAGAAATCGGACCAGCTACATCAACCATAGAAAACCGAGTTCCTTAGATAGAAATTATGACGCGCCGGGTTACACTCTTAGCCATTCAACTATGGATACAAATGACAACCTACTAAAGAATAATGAAAGACCGCTTTCTTCGCTTATACCTGGACCGGCCAGTCCTAGGTAGTTGGTTGGCGGGGAATGGTGGAACAAGCGGCTGATTGAAGGATTGTGTTGACCCGACCAACTATGTGCACTTGAGTGTCTGACTTAAACTGAGCTCAGATTTAGATAAAGGTATGTCTCTTAAGAATGCGATATACAATCAAACTGGGTGGTTTGATCAATTTGTTCGGTTAAACGAGATACAGCAGACAGAAGAGTGGGCATGATACGTAATGGATAGGAAAGGGGTGTGATGGGCCAGAAGGAATTTGCTCTGCCAGAGTGCTCATTGTACACCGAAGTCCTTGCGGTTGTGAGTTGTTGGTGGTATGTAATGCTCATGGGACGAGTAGTAGGTTGTCGTCGGATTCCATGTTAATCATAAGTCATTGCGTGTCGGAGATCGATATGGCTTGGTATAGCCCTCTATGTCAGCCTGAGGTTTGGTTAGTCAGCATATCACTGTGGTAGTGCGGCAGTGCTTCTAAGTTCTGTCACAATGTTTGGCTAGCTTAAGACTCGTTCAGGTGAATTGGGCTCGAGTTCAGAGAGGTTTGGAGACAGTAGGTCGGTGTATTGTACCCAAAAGCCTCTGTGCTCAAGACTTCTCTGCTTGGTTCCAAGCATGTCCCTCCATTTTGAATAGGCTCCGCTTTTCGTCCGTCCCAACAATAATCGGTGTCGCATGGATGATAGCGTTGTTTTGGCTATGCGTCGTAACAACCCAGTGATACAATGTAACAATGAACACAAGATGAAGAAGTTACCGAACGCCCACCAGACTGACCAAGCCTTTCGGTTAATTTTTAATGTCATTATATTTCATTATTGACTGGCCATCGCGCAGTTTCTCCCCGCTAGGTGCAGTGACAGGGTATGACGCACATTGAAGAAGGCGATCAACGGGTATACGGAAAATATATCAGACGATTCACTCTTGCACACAAAAAGTCTCTTGCCTAAACACCAATTGGTAAATGTCAGTATTGTTCGCCGGGTGTTCTCACCAGATGTGAACAATACTTCGCAAGCACAGTTAAGTACAAACGGTCAGCCTCATAACGTCTTCAGCGAGAGGTGGCCAAGTCTCTGATTCGTACAGTAACACCGGCTATATCGCACCCTGCCTTTGACTGATAGGATGGTATTTCGCGCATCCCTAGATAAACGAATCTCTGAAAACCCATAAGGACTCGGTCGATGCGTGAAGTCACTTCAGTAGAGATGTGATCACCAGAGGTGACACAACTACCAAGATAAATGTACCGATCCAACATCTTCAGTGGCTAAGAGAACAGGGACACTTATCATTATTTCGATGATAAATTTGAAGTGGAAGGAGAAATAGGACGATCCTGGTGAACTCCACTTGTCGCGGGGAATTCTGAGACGTCTTCCTATCGACCCTCACTCGGCCTCCGCAGTTGCGGTTGAGACCACAGACGAGAAGGCGGTTTTCCTGGCATACCTTTCAAAGATAAACGATACCACAACATGCCACGATCAACAGAATCGAAGGTGGCTTTCATAACAAGGATAATCACCATAGTCTGTTGTCTGTAATGTGTCTCTATTCCAATACTAAAGAGAAAATATGTGAGCGATGCAGTAGCGACCAGCGTGAAAGCCAGCATCGTTCTCACCGATTCCGCTTTCACAAGGACCAGTAAGTCGCTGAGACCCGTGAGAAGTTTGGAACAAACGAAAGTAATGACTTCCACATGAAGTAAATGGACTCATTTTGGGGACCGAAGTGACAGTGGACAACTTCCCATCTAAAGGAACCTCAGCGGTGTCCAAAATGAATGAAGCAGTTAGGTCAGGCACCGGTGCGTCACTTCCATGCTTCATAAAGATGGTAAAAGGCCGTGTGATCCAGGAGCTCTATCCAGACAAAGCGAGTTCACGTTGAGTCCATTTCAAAGCGGGTGGGTAATGTCAGCCACCCACGTGGGCTCAGGTGATTTGGAAACAGTAGCGTCAGAGCAGACCTGATAGTGATCCTCAAAATTCTCAGTTCAACGATCTACTTGAGGTGACTGAGAATAGAGCAACTTCCCACTTTTCTCAGCTATTGCCTCAATAGCTTGGGGCGATCTTGAGTAGGCACGTCGCATGAGCTGGAGCAGTACTCAGCTGTTCCCATTCCCACTGGGTTTCTCCATATCGCGAGCCCCCACCATCTGCCAATAGCCGGTTGATTTTGAGGCACTTAGGCAGATAACGCTTTAGGTTGTCACGGACACGATGTAGCTGAATACAACACTTTACCCATGACAACTCTACTTCGTATTCGGCTCATACAAATTAGTTCGTAATTAAGAGCATATGAGTCAGATCGACACGATATTACTGTCTTGCGGATTGTCAGCACAGGTGACGGGTGAGAAGCCGCAAAAGTGAACGCTTCACTGAAGTTGACAGAGTGGATGCTATGTACGCGCACCCTAGGGCATGATCGGAATGCAAGCACGTATTCCAGAACGACCTACGAACGTGAGCTTACCTGCACCAGCGGTAGATGATAAGAGCATAATCATTTTGGCCCAACGTACTGTTGACATAGTGGACACCAGGTGAGATGATGTGAACATTCGTATTGAAAAGCGACGATGCTAATATAAAAGTAATAGTCGACACAAAAGAAGAAATGGACTGCCAGTAGCTGTTTGGCATGCGATAATCCCGAAAATACCTCACAACTCCTGTCTGGAGTCCGATGAATAACTCACTTAGGTTCAATTGCTCATTTGTTCGCCGAGCTTCGAAATTTGTTTACATACGTTTCGCTACCATGTGAGGCGGCATCGTCAATGCGCTGATATGCAGAGTGTAACCTTGCTTACTTAGGTACTCATTCCAGCAGCAGCGGTCATGACAGCCGCATTACGCGTCATATGAGTGACGGATGAGAGCTATTGGCATACATAGATCTCTGATGGCAAGAAGTGATTATTAGGTATTAAAGGTTTTCAGTAAAAAGAAACGTATTTTGTCAATTTCTGTAACAGCTACTGCTGTGTTGGGTTTGGTATATAGTGAGGTTTAACCTAGAGCTTCAGATTATTACGGATGAAGTTACAACGTTGCAGGATAACAAACAGGCGAGTAGATATCTTGTTTGTGGAACCAAGGTCTAAGTGAAGAAGCACGAGAACGTTACATGGATGCACACGAGAACACTTACCTCAACGAGTCGGAATCCCGAAGGAAGGCGAACACGCGGCGTGTGACGGCTTCTTTTTCATCAAAAGCCCCTTTACGTCTCAGATGTGGTGGAACGCGTAGTACGATGGCTTGTTTGATAATGCGGTACTCCAGTTCAGTGACTGACATACCAGGCTGATGTAGCTTCTTAATTTGAGACAATAGCGGTTCACTTAAACGATCCAGAAGAGCGGGCTTAGGGACCCATCCATAACTATAAACGAGAACCGTTAGGTAAGATGTTCAACAATGAGTGCATGCTGAGCGACGGGCTGTATCGAAGGCTTGTAATTGGGGGCTGAGTCGTAGCTTGTGAGACGTTATTATTAAGATGTCGAACTGCCTTCTAGTAACTGTATGTAAGAAGAAGAGAGGCGAGCAACCCACATCCTCTAAAGGCTGAACAGCTAAGTATACGGGCAATGAAGAAACACTTCTAAGGAATGGGTGAAATAGCTAAGCAATGGGGAAAAGTAGGAAAGATGTGAAGACTGGTTATGCAGGGATTGCTGAGTTGAAAGTGACTCATACGATTTGATAGTTTGAGATGAGTATTGGGGGCGGAAAACTAAAACCGGTCTAGTCGTAGGCGAATATGAGAGCTATACGACAGAACTTTGTTGAGGCAGAGTTGACGTAAAACCAAGACAGCAAGTCCACAAGACAAGAAACAGCATTTAGTGGTGCTACATAAACAGCCAGTGAGAAACAAGGGTTCATATTGTTCTGAGGTCACCCGCCGTCAAAACCGTTCGCAGAAACAGACTGGTCAATTAACCAAGACTCGCAGCTAGTAGCCACGGGGCTATTTGCTCGAGTATCTACCTAAAGGCGACCGAATTAGAACGAAGCTACTAATGGAATGTGATGTTTGCGGATGGCTGGCTTGCCGAACTACCTCCTCGTGGTGCCAGCTGGGTGGTTCGGGATTATCCCGTTCCAGCGAAAGGTGTGGCTGCAGTGTTTCAGGATATGGTGGGTTTTCGCCTGGTAAGCGTTCTCCCTATAAAAAGCCACATATGTCCGCTTAACAACATTGCGACGTGACTCGCTAGTTAATAAAGTCACTGCCCATTGCTTCACCTCTTTGGAGCATTGTAATCCTTCAGCTTGACGCTGAATTACTGGGAGTATTGGACCCCTGTTTGGCGGCCAGCCAAACGAAAGGCGTATGAACCGAGCAAGCGGGCACCGGCTCCTAATGGGTGCGATTCTCTGAATTCGCCCCGCTGCCTTGCGGGTCAGGTCTTTATGACCAAAGGCTCCGGGTGGGCCCCCCTAAGTCAACCCCCTTCCTCGTCCTAAGCAATCGTGAAGCTGTATGCCCACGCAACTCATGAAATGATGGATTTGCAACTCTCTGCTTACGTCTCTCGCTCCCTGAACTCTCTCTTTGGCCGGGGTGCTGGCGGCCGGGCATGCTAAACCTAATTCTACCGCACCGCAAACAACGTTCTTCGTTCCACGCTTATTCAACCCTCCTGTTCTTGGCAACTCCCCTCCAATTTCGAGTCACCAAAAGTGCATTGCAAAGAAAAACGGTACCTTTGACCTCCTCAACGAACCGCTCAAAACCGAACGCACACATTCCAATTTAAACAGCAAGGCTTTTATTGTACCCCGCTCGCTCTTCGAGCTATCTACGTTCAATGTTCGAACGCTCACGCAGATTGGTTCACAAGCTACTCTTGCGCGCACCTTGGAAACCCTATCAACCGAAGTTTGCTGCCTAACCGAAATCCGTTTAGAAGACTCCAGCACAACGCTACGATTGCGCTCACCATTCCCAAGTTCCAATGGCACATTCACTTTGCGTTTATCTGGAGATGCGACAGCGACAGCCTCTGGTTGCGCCGACGTAGGAGTTGCGTTAAGCGCAAGTGCTGGGGCAGCGCTCATTGACTAGTTCGCTGTTAACAACTGTCTTTGTGCAGTCCGCTTGGAAAGCTCGGTGCGATCTTCCAGCCACGGGACCAGTAGTCACTGCTTATTCATTGTGGCGGCGTACGCTCCCACTGACTACAGCTCAGACGAAGCTAAAGACGTTTTACCGTCAACTCACCGACCTCCTTCGCAAGAAACGCCGCAAGGACATCGTGATACTCACCGGTGACCTTAATGCGCAGCTCGGTAGACTAGAGGTTCATGAGCGCGAACTTGGGGGTCAACGCAGCCACGATACTCGCAGGACGGACAACGGCGATAAACTCCTTTAACTGTGCGTTGACCACGGCTTGTTCCTTTCCAACACCAATTTCCGACGTTCCTGGCGCCAACGAGCCACATGGCGACCTCCGGCGTCTGGTCAAGCTTGACGCACATTGACCACATCGCTGTTAGTTATCGTTGGCAAAGCTGCATAACGGACTGCAAGTCAATTTGGAACACTTACCTAAGTTCGTATCATGCGCTCGTGTGTGCCAAGTTTGTTCTATGCTTTGGAGGTACCCAACAGCCTCGCCAGAAACGGATTGACACAGACAAGCTCGTCGCCCCAAATATTCTCGGCGCATTTCAGAACATATTAGCCTCCAACCTGCGTTCTCTATCCTCCGACGTTGAGACACACTGGGAACAGATCCAGAGCGCTTTACTAAAGTCCACTACCCTGGTCTGTGGCTTCCCTAGACAAGCTGCTAGTCACTGGATCTCTGCACAACGTCTCCAATTAATGGAAAGTCATCGAACAATTTCCGCCGGAGTTTAGTACAACGCACTACTCAGAACCACCGGTGCTGAGCTCAGATAGCTCTACAGGAAGGATCGCGAGGCTTGGTGGACACAACGCGTTGTTGAGATGGTGCGAACAGTCTCATCAGGAAACTCTCGCAAACTCTTCCAAGTTATTCGCTCCACGGGAGGCAGAAGACCAATAGTAAGAAAGCTTTTGCGCAAAAATTACGGTGAACTAATCCACAGTCGTCACCGTTGTCTGGTACGATGGGCAGAGCACTTTGAAGATCAGTTCAACTGGCCACCAGCGCAACCGAATCTATCTTCCGGGGTTCACAGTGCTCCCTGGTGTGTGGATGTTTCTCCACCGAGAGAGGCGGAAATTTCAAATGAGCTGCACCTACTGTAGCGCCACAAGTCATCCAGCCCAGATGAACTTCCTCCTGCCCTCTTCAAATATGGAGGTCATGCACTCAGTCGCGAACTGACATCACTCTTCAATCAGATTTGGATTACTGAAACCATTTCATCCGACTGGAATTTAGCGGATGTTGTACCTGCTCATAAAAAAGAGCCCCGACCATTTGCTCCAACCATAGTGGCATCAGTTTCATTTGTGTCGCATCCAAACTGTTTGCTTCCCTGCTCTTGCGGAGGCTCAGTTGCATACGGGAACAGAACCCTCGTGAACAACAAGCTAGATTTCGCCCGGGTAGCAGTTGTGTCGATCGCATGTTTACGATCTGCCAGAGACTTGAACGTCGCCATACGTTTAGTCGACCAAGCATAGCTATATTCTTGAACATTCGAGCCGCGTTTGACTCTGTTGACAGAGTGGCTCTTTGGGACTGCTTACTGAAGAGGGGAGTACCTGAGAAGTATATCAGCATTCTCCGTGCCAGTTATCATCAAACTTTGGGCTGCGTGCAAGTATACGGAGACATTTCGCTCCCTTTCAGTATCACTAGCGGTGTTAGACAGGGTTGCCCAACTTCTCCATTCTTGTTAAACATCTCCATGGATGAGATTCTGGATACTGCCCTGGAAAACTGAGTCGTGCGGTGTTGAACTGCTCCCTAGTGATCGTCTTCGGGACTTAGAGTACACCGATGACATCGTTATGATGTGCGAGTTCTCCCAAGCCACTCAGCATGTGCTACTCAGACTGGAGAAGTCCGCCTTCCAATTTGGGTTGAGCTTTGCCCTTTCCAAATGTAAGGTCCTATTACAGGACTGGCCAAGTACATATCTTTCTCTCACCCTTTCGGAGCATCCGTTGGAAGTGGTCGACAAATTCATTTATCTTGGGATTTGTATTAGTATTAGTGGTTTGACAGATGAGATCTCGCTGCGTGTCGCCAAGGCTGGAGGCGCTTTCGCTAACCTTCATCATCTGTGGCTTCGTCGTGACCACAGCCGCACACTCAAGAGACAAGTCTACAGTGCTACGGTTCGAGCGATTCCGCTGTACGGTTGTGAGACTTGGCCCGTTCGCAAAACCGATGTTCAGCGGCTATCTGTCTTCGATCACCGCTGCCTGCGAAGCATTGCTAGTGTTCGATGGCAGCATCACATCAGTAATGAGGAAGTCCGTCGGCGAGTATTCAGACCTAACGAACTCCGCCGACCGATTGATAACATCATTTCACTGCGGAGGCTTCGCTGGCTTGGGCATGTGCTCCGCATGCCTACCCAGGGGCCACCACAACGAGCCCTATTTGCAAGCACAGGCGTGAGTTGGAAGCGACGAAAAGCAGGGCAATGCAAACTTGGATCCAATTAGTTAAGGCGCAAACGTTGAAGCTGGCTGTTTTTGGGCTTTCCCGACTCCTGAGTTAGGGACCAAAGGACCCCGAGAACATCTGGTTGCAGACGCTAGAGAACATGGCCAAGAACGGTACACAATGGCGCACTTGCCGTGAGACTTTTCTACCCTAACACTTGTTTTCCCTTTAAATCTATTTGTTTTTTCTTTTATGTTGTGGCACAGTCAATTGTATTGTAATTGGTAAAGTGTTGAATATATATATATATATATATATATATATATATATGAGGATGCTTGCACCTTAGCTAAACGCTATCACAGAGATTAGGAGAACCGTGAGCGCATGTACATAAATCGTGGTCTCAACTTAGATCGTGCTGAAACAAGGCACACAAAGATCAGTCAACCAGAACAACCTCAGATTTGTGAAAATGGACTGCTGGTTTATACGAATGACAAACGCTCGTTTTGCTAGAGAGACGTGTTAGAACTGAGAGAGGAGTCTTCGTACTCATGTGGATAACGACCATCATTTTATGGCGCCGTAAGAAACAGAAAGGATACATCATCAAGGAGAAAGGTGTACAGTGAAGACAGAAGTCACAGATATTTGTTGCTCTGCTGAGGCGTAATAAGAAAGAAAAATACAAGCAAAAGACGACTTACCGTCCACCGGCCAAAAGTACAAAGATGTCAGCAGTGGCTGCATGTTCAAGGCACATTTCCAGAGCACGTGGGCTGCGGGTGGCGATCTCTGGTACACCCCAACGTAGGTCTACCTCGTCTACATGGACACACAGTTCTCGAGCGGCAAACTGTCTGATGGAGGGGATGATCACGCCGCATATGAGGTCTCGTTCAGCATGCATATCTCGAAAGGTCGAGGATATGAATATTTTGCACGAACGCCACCTGTGAAGTGGAGTGAAACCCAATTAACTCTGGACCTTCGTGCTGGAGATGTCATTTGGTCAAAATTGCTCAACACACAGAGCATAAACACATTTCATTGAGCTGCAATAGATTTCCCATATTTTGACGGCCGAGAATAGCTCTAGAGTTTATGCCCAGTATTGCTGACTTACAATGTCGGTGATACTAACTTACCTTTATCACAAGAAAAGGAGCATATGTGCAAGATAAGCATAGTTTATTGGTGGAATTAATTCGGCTACAAGTAAACAAATGGCGAGAAACGATAATACCACGCCCTTTCTTGACCAGTGCGACGGATAACTTGACAGTTTGTTAGGTACCACAAATTCAGATAGGGGTTACCACTTAACGCAATCTGGGATGTGATCGTTGAGCTTGGTTATCACGAATCTTACTTGAAAGTGAAGAGCTAAAAAGTGTAGGCTTCAGTTAAATAAAAAAGCAAGTGTATCGGAAATGGTGATACGGCGCTACCACTGAGGTAGGACCGTAAGAAGTGTGGACAACGGCATATGTGCGTGAGCTTTTGTTTTAGGTTGTCGGGACACGATATATGAATTTATCAGTAGCACTCGTCACGCTCTCTTCCATTGTTGTCGTTAAAAGTTGTGGGTTAAATTACCGGCTTCCGATGCCATGACACTATCGGCACAGCTCCCAGCTATCACAGACCCATCTCCTCTCCCCTCTTTGTCCACAAGTAGGACAATTTCATCGTTGTCACCTCATCTCCAGTCGAAGTACGTGATGCGACACTATCGAAACTGGCTGTCGTGATGGTGGCTGGTCGTTTAGGTGAGCGGGACTGCATGATGACAAACAAGCGTTGCCCACGTGAGCTGACCACGATCGCGAGGGGCCGGAAAGGAAAGATGGAATTAGCTCGATATAGTGCGAAAGAGGTGCAACTCGGTTCCAGTCAAGGAAAGGACTAGTCCGAACAGCAGCGACGGTATCTGACCTGCGCACCAATGAACTCAGACTGACGACACGGAACGCAACGGTAGCTGGCAAATGATCGAGCGGAGCCCACGTGATCTAACTATAATCATCGTACAGGTCAGGTGCACAGTGGGTGCAGAGAGACATAAGGCAGGTTTGTGGAGTCGTTTGGAATGATCACAGAGGATGTAAAGCGAGTGCGAGCCAATGTGAAAAGTCGCCGCGATTAAATAAAGCTTCAAATAGTAGAAGTGAGTTAACCTTGGCTACAAGACAGGTGTGTCCGGCCATAAGAATTTGCCTGCGTACAATGTCAAAATCCATACAAAGTAATAACCAAACCCAGAATCTGAGGCCATGTCAATACCATCCCTTATCACGTGTTATAGAGAAGGTAGAGGAAAGCTGAGCGGCGCTCTAAGTAAGCCTGTTGTCCCATACATCATGAACAAAATACCTCAGAAATTACGAGATTTGTGTGTATTCCGCCTTGGTGCTATATCTTGTTTGCTCAGATGGAATGAACTCGCAAGTACTAGGCGAAGAGAATGCAATGCTTAAATGCATAGTTGATTATGCACAGTTTGCTTTGTACATATGTCAACACGGTACTAGGGGGAAGAAAAATAGTTGCACGTACGGTTACGATAAGGTGGTCCAATAAGAACTTAGTTTTGAACACTTCTAAGCAAACCTTAGGGACGGTTTCGAAATGTGTCGGCTACTCGAGTTTGGTGGTCCCGACAAATGCGAAAAATGCACAACATGACCGCGAGGATGTGAAGGAGACACGATGTCTTCTAGAGCAAAACAAAACCGGAAACAGTTGGAGTACTCGGAGGGTAATGTCGTGAGCAGTGATCCATAATGGAAACAAATCGCAAGAGTCAAAACTTGGACCATCCCCTATCGTGATTCAGTTACATATAAGTAAAAAGAAAAGGAAAGTGGATGACCGAACCATAGCCAAGACTAACTTTCACTTTCAGCGGCAGAACGCTGTTCGTCTCTGACCTGATACCGGATTGATCTAAAACATTTTTCGATAACATATCTGGCCATCACCACTTTGAAATAGAAACTGCGATTCATCTTGAATGCCTCAACGTAAACCACTGGTGCACGTACCGAACGAGCACAAACAAGCAGACAAATGAATAATACACAGAAAAATGATCATTGCCGTGCTAAAGATGAGAAAAGTTACGCATTAGAATGCCACTCTGGTATGTAAGCTGGAGAAGCTTGTCATGTAAACCTGACAACGCAGAATTCGCCTAGTTATCAAACATAGATTACTCTGTTCCATGGCACAAGATGACAGTAAATTCTGCAATGATATCTTACAAATCACCTTACAAGTGGGTGAATTTGACTTGACATGATGGCCTGTCAGTGAAAACACAGGACAAAAGTGGTAGAGCAAAGGCACATTGGAAGAAGAATTCATGGTGAATTCTAGTTATGCGGGTAAGGTTGGTCGATTCACAAGGTAGCTCAATTTGACTGTAGGCCGCTGACATGGAAACGAGAGGTCTCTTCTTCATTGGGCGACAGAATTAATCTAGAATAACTGCATAAAGCAGCACAAGATATGCCGCTAGTTTTTTCTCCTTTAATTCTATGGACGTTGATCATGCCAGTTTCATGGTCACCGGGTCTCAGGGTGAAAGATAAGTGTTGAAAACATGGACACGCGCTCATAAGGTGAAGCACTTACTCATTCAAAGGTCGATCTAGTGGGATATCTGGCTGTAAAGATTGTAGTTTGGATGACACCGCGCGCGACCGTGTAGTTAGACCATAAAGTTCATCGATTCTTTCGACACGTTCCAAAAGACCCTTGTCGCTTGCCTCGGCAATGTAACGTAAAACCATATCGGTGGTGCCCTTCATAATGACCCAATCCTTCGGATCACCAGCAGCATTGGGCCTGATTTAATTGGTTTGGCAAAACAGGAACGGGAGACCAAAACGCAAATAGATTTGAAACCTTTAACATTTCAGCTCAACTGAAATTTAAACAGTATTGCTGACAAGGATGAAGTGTCTCTCGTGAAATCGAGTAGCATAAAGTGATTGCGAGAATTTATGTTTGAGGATGACACTACTCTGAATATAGGAAAATGTGATTCGCTAAGAATTCGCCGAAAGAAAGTCGGTGGGAATGCTGTCGGGACATAATTGATGTGTGGCTTATCATTTTACTTAGAGAGATGCAAGGTGAGCCTACAACTGGATTCAGCATACGAGAACAGTGAAAAGGAGGCGAGTGTCAAATAACTAGGCTAGAACGAATGCTCAGACATCCTGGGTAACTTGTTATTGGCTAAGGTGACGGCCGCGGTCCGCAATTCGGATCTTCGATCTTTAACGATTTTCTTAAAGTCATTGGATGCCGACGTATTCGCACGTCCGCCTGTCATCCACAGACGAACGGCATGATGGAACATTTCCACCGATAGCTGGAAGCCTCAATTAGCGCTGCCAATGCGTTGAGTTGGACTGAGGTTCTACCTTTGATCTTCCTTGGTATCCAACCAGCCCTAAAGGCCGATCTACGTCCGTCTAGCGCTGAGTTAGTATGTGGACAACCATTGCATTTAGCTGGCGATTTCTTCTCCGATAGTTCTAGAATTCCCCGTTATGACGCGAATTATGCTCGTCAGCTAGCCACGAGCATGCGTCACTACGAGCTTCCCGACGTCAGAGAAGAACCATGTAAGCCTTTTGTTCCACAAGACCTGCAGCCCTGTTCGTTCGTTTTTATTCGCGCCGATGGTCTTCGCAGACCACTGGAGCGATCTTACGAAGGTACTTTCAAGGTTATGCAGCGTAAGGAGTGGGTCTTTATCGTCGTCCATCACTGTAAACGAGAAGCCGTTACGATTGAGCGTCTCAAGGTTGCGCACGTGGAATCTGAGCTCGATGAAGACTCTTGCCCGTCTTCTGACGAATCGACCTAGCCTATCTATGATAGTCGACTCACCTGCTTTCAACGCCCCTGACCCCAAGCAGCACTCTCTATCGAAGCCTTCCAATTCAGTTCCGCCGCTTCCCATCAAACCAAGCGGCACATCTACAGCAACTCCTCTAACTTTGCGATCCGATAGAACGCCCAAGACGACGCCTTCCTCCGAACCGCACAAGTCGACTAGGTCCAGTAGGCCAGTTCATTGGCCAGCAAGATTAACAGATTAGTTGTACTTTCCACTTTGCATTTCCCACTGTTCCTTTTCCCCTTTGGCCAACACAGTACGAAAACTCAAAAAAACGGCAAAAGCTTTTGAAAACGCCAAAAAACCGACAAAAGTGTTTGAAAACCCAAAAAGAACGCAAAATGTTTTTAAAACCCAGAAAAGGAAAAAAACTTTTCGAAACACGTAGGGAGTTGCGTTTAGTTTGGCGCCTGCATCATCCGGTAAGTGTCAGTGTTACTTTTGTCCTTGTCACCGCTGTCACTACCCTTGTTTCCGTTCCATGTACGAACCGGAGGAGATGACAAGCTTGAAGCGAAGCTTTGACATCCACGAACTTGCGAACAGTTGACGCTCACGAACTTTCCTCCATACTGTGTTTTTGGCACCGTTAGGGAAGACACGGGTGGGATCCCGTTAGGGCCCGATTGCCTGGTTCTCCCTCAGAGGCTGCATCAGGTTTCACTACCTGGTCTCGTAGAAGACTGGCTCGCGACGGACAGTCCTCACGTAGATGGAAGGGTCACCCACGATTTCCCTTCTAGGGGGAGGACTATGTAGTGACCTGGAGATTCCTTCGTATGACTGTGTAAATAACTGCAAAATATATTAAAATTATGGTTTTCTTATGTATTAGGGAATTAGGCGCTTTGCCTTTCGGAACATTGTTCCCGTTCATTTGGAACACAAATACCATATTCGCCTTTGAAGCGCGCGACTTGGATTGTGAATGACACACGTCCACGCATTCAACGCCAAGGTACATCTTCCCTAGCTAGCTCTTCTCTGGTGCCCTATGTTTAGCATTAGCTAGCTTTCTCCCATTAAATAAACCTTTTTCCCAGCTTGATTTTTGTGTGTTTTACCGATTACGTTTGGCTAGTTATTTAGTATCGTACCAGATATATAGCGCAGGACCGAAGCGCTATGACTTGTTTCGTTTAAGCAGCACCTACATTAGAAATGATATTTGAACCTATGGATCATTCATTCTAGTCGAGGACCCGAGACCGTCACACCTGCGGTTGTCAGTACATGGTACTTGATCACTACAGTAAAAGTTTGACATTTCTGTTGAGCATAGCCGCGAGCTGCTTGAAGTCACGCGACAGTTGTGAGAAGACGTTTGGCGTCACTAGAAGCCGCAAAGCCATGACATAGGACTAAACCGCGCCACGAGTCGTAACAGCTCAAAGATAATCTTCGGAATGCCTCTGGAGACTAGAACTATTTGAAGCTCAAATATGATTAGGAGGATTGTTCGCCCGGTGGGGGCACCAGATTGCTTTGTTGAATCATACATGCGATCAATGTCCAGCAAGAGAGAGATCAAATTATCATCAAGTTAGATGAAACTCATCCATCGTCTCACCCTGTAGATCGAAAGTTAAGTCGAATAACTCTTGGGATTGCAGCGGTCATTCTGAAGCACTCATTGTGTAAATAGATTGCGACGCCAGTCTAACATTGAACTGTGATTCCCATCGAAGTGAATCTTTGTCGATCATTGGGAGTGTAGCTGTAACAGCTGTGTACGATCGATGGTAACTGGTTTACCTCATTCCCCTGGCTTAGGCCGAGTGGAGCCAGGAACAACTTCTGCTACACGTGTTTCAGGTTCAGCTATGGGCAGCGATCGGCTTAAGTGGAATCCACCAGTCATCAAGTGGTTAGTTCTTCACAGGCGGGTGATCAAGTACACATAGAGTAGGAATTTCAAGACAGTTGCACAAAGCACCCAGACAGGGAACGCGGCGGATCATTGCGCTGTGGTCACAGGTGGTATGAACAAGCACCAGCTTTCAAGTGAACGAGAAAAACATCAGCACATCTCAGGTGTCTAGAATCAGCGCATATTTATGTGTATAACATCCGGAGTAGCTGGGCACCGCGATGAGCAAGCGTGAAGCACACATATTAAATCCGATAAAAGGTACCCTCACGGTGATGCGGTTCAAGTACCAATCAGCATATTGGAGGATTCTTACAATAGTGCCGTTTTTAATCCAAGGAAAATTGGCCACATCACTGGTTTACAAAAAATGAGCTTGACTTACATGGAAGCAGTCATTGATGTGATGCTTTGAAGCAGGATCCCAGGAACGGATCCTTTCGGCTGTCAAGTAGTTGCCGAAAGAACTATTGTACATCGCCAGAGTATGGATCTGTGACGCCTTGTTACCAAACCAGTAGTGGTCGTCTAGGTACGGCAAATTCAGCAGTACGCAGTACCGACGCTTCGCTGCCGCGAAACCGCTAAGAGTCGCGCGTGGGCTACGGCTACTTCAAGGGTTGTCCGGTCCCCTGCTCAGGCTCTAACTATCGCCCTCAGATCACAAGATATATTTGGGATCCTTAAAGCTACGGGCCGACACGGGAAATTCAACAACATCACGCCCAAATACACCAGCAGATGGTCGCATGGCAGTTGAAACCAAATACGACGGGTGCTAAGCGAGACAACCCGATGCCGAAGAGAAGAATTGCACGAGAGCCATTCCTATTGTCTGCGGCAGTCAAACACATCAACGTATTAATTAGCAGAAATGGCAAGTTTGACGCAGGTTATGTCAAACAAATGTGACAGTGCCGCAGGTTGATGGCAATGAAGATAAGAGCGAACGACTCACCAATCATCGGTTCCTTTCAGATTACCCCAAATGGCATTTATACGGCCAAAAATCTGTCGATAATTTGTGACGTAAAGCGATAATTCTGGAATCATCGAGCCAATCAAGAAGATGGTACGAAGCTGGAAGTAAAGAAGGAAAATGTGCGACTGGAAGGTGGGGTGTAAACGTAAAACAGTAAAATGGGTGACAAGTGACAGTGAACAGTCAATCTACGAAAACCCCTTTTACTTTCCACTGGGATCACTGAAGAGCAACCCACAATCACCGTCGGTAAGGTGGATGGGAGCATTCATCATGATCGTCGGAAACACACGTGGATAGTGACTTTTGTGCGGAAGTGCCAGATAACAGACAGTATATGCATCAGTAAGTAGTTGTGCTTAGGTAACTAAGTAGTGCCTTGCGGGTCAGGTCTTTAAGACCAAAGGCTCGGGGTGGGGCCCCTCAACCCTCTTCCTCGGCCTGGGCAACCGGGAAGCTCCCTGCTCACACAGCACATGGCAAATTGCATCTCTTTGACTATTCTTCCTCCTTTTTGCTATTGTTATTCATGTGTTGTGGCGCTCTGACAAAGGTTTATTGGGCAAGTGTTAAATACATTCAAATACAAATTAAGTATTTTGGTGCTGGACCCCATGTACGTCACCCGGGGGAGATCGTTGTGGACGTGTTCTAACCACCGTGCTAACAGCAGTGTGAGGAGCAGCTCATGTGCAGGTTCAGCTAATGACTGAAGTTTTCATTCAACTAATTCAAGGGCTCCATTGAAACGTTGCTGACTGATTGCAACGACAAAGTATAGTGGTTTAATGGGCCGCCGGTGAAGTGTGCTGGGTTGCTTAACCTCAACTTTGATTGGTAGCCCGATGCAACCACAGTAACCACCACTACCTAGGTAGACGAGATGTGAGCCTACTAACACCGTAAACCACGAGGCCAATCAGTAACGGAAAAAAGAAGAGCAGCAACAACAACAACAACAACAGCAACAAAACAACAACTACTAACTAGTAGGTGCAAGTTGTCGGGCGCTAATTGTGCCTTCTATGGGATAGTCAAGCACGCCGAGGAATAGTTCGATGTAGTACCATCAGCCGTTTGGCACAGTGACGACGCGATTCGGTAGACTGGATGCTAAGCAGGGTGTATTTGGGGCGCGAAACAAAATGTACACATTTACATTACAATGTGATCTAAAACGTTAAAGGTACCACGAAGTTTCACTAGATCGATTATTTTGCATGTCCACACGCGTGAAGGTGTAACAATGTGTACTACACGTTAAAAAGGAACCGTGAATGTATAAGGTCGTAATCAGCAAGTAACTGCTCTCTGAAGCGAGCATTCACAAAATATGCGTCCAGAAATGTCCCGAATTGCGACACAGGGTTTACCTCAACGATGGGTTCCGATAGAATGTTCAGAACATTCAAAACTTGCTACTCGAAGCCCCGCGGTTGGAAGGAGAGTAAGTTAGGGTAGACCGTCCAGTTCGGCGATATGAAGTATTTTGCACAGTTGTTCGTCAAATCCCGATTAGTCAGGGTGCAAATTCCACTCCAATAAACGATTTCAATTTTTAATTAACCCGACTAGGTAGAGCCCGGGTTGCTTGCTGATTGGTACTCAGAGCTAGGAAATTTATCCACAGACCTTTTGCCACCAACCAATATGGCATCTTCCGTGCATACCTGTGTGTAGCTTCTAGGCGAGTATCGAGCATCAAGCAGAGTTTACATCTGGCCGATTGAGTGGACCAGTTGATAAAGCACAAAAATGGTAACACATGAAAGAATCAAGCTGAAACGTGGCAAATGAAAGTAAGCCTCATTTCTGTTCACTCATGGTACTTACTTATGTGGTCATAGGTGTTGCCAGCGGAAGTTAAATGCATCGCACATGGAAATATCGGACATGAGATGAGATTCGAAGCCTCGTCATTAAATCAACTGGACTAGCCGTGGCAAAGTCGTAGTTTACAGAACTCTGTGCCCCGGCAGCTGTGGGACTCAGAAAAGAATCAACCTTAAGTCAACGTGTGTTTCTTCGTGAGCAGCGATCCTTGGAAACTTTACTACATGCAGAAAGGCTTTGGACATAAAAAGTCTGTTAAAAAAATGCTACGGAAAAAAGTCGAGTATGGTGCTCGAAAAGTTCAGTAACGCCTTCTGGAAGTGTCCTGCACTAGCCCATGTAATCCATACGTATTGGGAGTTACCCACTCAATACTTTCCATTCCACGGCCGATTCCATACTTAGTTGAACTCGTCAAGTAGCAATAACAGGACTGCAACTTGAAACCGGGTCGTTTGGATGTCGGTCGAAGATCTTACCCCTAGACCACCAAATCGAGGACGGAAATGCTTATCCTAAGCATGTGAGAAGGTTACAACCAGCGGTACAGCAGAAACAACAACCACCACAATCAGCGACACCACCACGACCACGACAATAACAATAACGAGGAACATAACAACAACGAAAACGACGACGACAACCACAGCAATGACAACGACCACAATGACAACTACAACAGCAGCAACCAATTTTATTGCTATTATTATTATTATTATTATTATTGCCGAACAACCTCGTGGTGCCAGCTAGGTGGCTCGGGTGTAACCCGTTCCAGGAAAAAGTTCGGCGGCAGTGTTCCAGGACGTGGTGGGTTTTCACCTGGCAAGCGTCACAAATGTCCGTTTATCAACACTGGGACGTGGCGAATATGACTCGCCACAAACTAAAGTCGCCGCCCCGTGGATATCTGGATAATTACATCTAATCCACGGACATCAATCGTCTATGCTTAAATAGCCGTCGCTGTCAAACGGTCACAAATACAAGGACATACTTATAAACACAAGCTACAAAGCTACACCTATACACCGTCACATACATCCATGCACACACGCACTGTTATGAAAAGCACGTTATATGCTTGTACATTTTTGTTCACACTTTGTTATCATAACAGTATCATGCCTGTAAAGGCGTGCCTCGCGTTGCCGAGAATAAAAAAATTATTTATTTATTTCGGATTGCTCTGAAAAGACGAGGCCCTGTTGAATCAGCCCGCTGAGATTCTTTCCGCGAGAACAATTCTAGTAGGCAATCTAAAGAAAGTGAAACAACGTCATAAATGGAGCATCCGACATTTAGTTGGATGGAGGAAGATTTGGTACCAAGCCTTCATAAAACTCATCGAGGTCATCTTGAAGATGTGTGTGAGACTCTGGTACTTTGATCGCCGGCCATAGCCTGATCTCGCTGGCATAAAGTAAATTACGTGATGGGATTAAGGCCATCGGGGATGTAATAAAGATCAAGTACAGAAGGGGCCCAATATCGAGCCACATGGCGCACCGCATTCGACGAATAAGATTTGCTATTGACTTGAGCACTCCTCCAGACGATTAGGTAAGAGGAAGTTGCTGATCCACCCTGGGAGTGGCTCACCAATGCTGTATTCCCGAGTCTTAATGAAAAGAATGCAATGTTCCAAACTACACAAACCCGTACACTGACATTTATTGTTGCCATCCAACCGTCTCATGTTGACAATAGACTGGGAAAATAAAATAAACTAAGGATGTTTATTCTCGATGTTGCATGAGGCTCACCAAAGGATGCATGATCAGTTTTGTACAAACAGATATGCGACAACTGCTGTACGATCGATTCCGAGGGAAGTCATATTGATCTTGAGCTATATAACCAAATCCAACTAGATAAGATATGAATGCGCCAGCAACGATAGTCTCCGTAAGCTTGAGTGGTAAGCGCATGGGCAGAGTCACACATGCGCAGCCCGGTATAGCGGTGTTTTCTCACTCCAAGGTGTTCCATTCGGACGCCCCGGTGGGTTCGCATATTTGGTAGAAAAGATGTTCCTTTACGATATCGGAACAGTTTACCAACTCTGCAATCAAAAACACAGTCCGTCATTTGTCATCCGGACTGTGTATTTAGTGTATATGGTTCTGAGTTATATGTAGGGGAAGGTTGCTTATGACATGGGGTAGTGAAAGCCTGAAGAGAGCCATTGAGTTAACGCCACATTAACGATAGCTCAGTTTTTATGGTTACGCGATGTTACCGAGGTGAAGGCGGTTTAACCTTGCATGCTTGTTTAGGGAGTTTGGGTTTTATATTTGTTCCACCTTACCATCACTTAAAGTTATGTGTGATTAGAGCCAGCTATCGGAATCCATGTTTGGTTATATGACGGTGAAGTACCGATAGAATGCAACAATGAACGGCTGTTTCTATATATGACAATGTGTGAAGTGTTGATCTGATGGGTCGATAAATGGTTCGAGTTCGATAAGAAATGCCAACACACGGAGTGAATGGAGAGCATGAAATCTGCAATTTAGGGAATTCACAAGTGTGGTGATTTGCATATGTTTTTTATGAAGGTAGGCAGCTCACCTGTTGCCGACTAGAACAGAGGTACTGGACCAAGTCTTCCGCGGTTAGGCAATAAGACACCTGTTATAGTTGACGAGAACAAAGTAGAAAATGAGTAAACGCAAAGGCTTCCTACGAGACGCAAACTGAAGGTGCACTATTAAGGTATACAGATTTTACTACAAGCTAACAATCGGGGTACTGAAGGCTTTATGTGCGGTGGTCTGAGATACGCCGAGCTCTGGTCATTTTATTCAGCTTTGTATACTTGCAAAGGGGTTTGTCTATGTCGTTTAATCGAAGAAAGGAATGGATAAGAAGTAAGCTGAGAGATTTGAAACATGCAATTCCCTTTATACTTCCAAATAAGAATATCGGAAAAGGAAGATTGTTGGATGAGCCCTTCATTTCGTGCATACTCGTCAGTCACGTACATGTAAATAATAAGTGATTCGAAACAATTTCACATGAAATCAAATAGCGGTCAAATGTTTTACGGTTGGTGCGTTGCACGCTACCACGGTAGACTTAGTCTCATTGGCTGAGAAGTGTGATACCACCTGTTGAGACAAACGATCCAAAGCATGGCGCTGAAGAGTGCAGAGGTAAGCGAAGTGTGTGTACTGTGTCTAACAAAGAATGGCGATGCCACATCGATGGAAAGAATGCACTGAACACCAGATATGAGCACGGACATCGCGACTTTTAAACGTCCAGTTCAGTTCGGGCCAGTGAGCCTAACAGTCCGCACTGTAGAAACGCTGTAAGGTAACCAATCGGGCGTATGGGTGAAAACCCATCGGTCGGTGACTACCAGACAAGTATGGGTGTATATGAGGGGAATGTCAAAAGCGATTCACTGTGAAAGCAACAGAAGCAATGGAAGACGCTACAAGAAGAGCGTGCACGTCAACTGTACTAGTTTCGCAAGCATCCAGTTTGCTGCTGCACCGTATAGAGATGTATAGAGCCCAGTCAGCCCTACTACCTAGCGGACAAGGTTGCATTCCTACTGGTATTTCATTTTCAACCACTTGTGTTGATGCAAGTGATGAAGCAGTCTCAATGGATTGAAGAAAACTCGGGCTGTTGATGATTCGTTGAATCCTAGCATCATCTTGATGGACTCCGCAATAATTAGAAAAGTGAGAAAGTTTGATGACAGGCTGTGAAGCCCCTCACACACATAAACGTTGGTATGTGAATTTATCCCAGCCTAAGCAAGTACAACGGAACTAAATAATACATGCGAGTGTGGGAATAAGGATAGCGGACATAGCAGGTGGCCAGGCATCACTGCCTTAGTTGATCGGAAGAGATTCAGCTACTCTGCGCTTAGCAACGAACGCCGGTCTGCATGTTGACAAGCCCAGTGAAAGCAAGACAGTAAAAACAGGTACTCATATTCTTGAGCATCGGCGATAAAGCATAGTAATACCGAAGCCCAAGTCACCTCAAGATTTGCAATAAGTAGTTGGCTTTCTGGTAAACAAAACACTGTTTCTATTCAGATCGTGGTGATAAAAATAATCGACGTCATTTCGTAAGACAATGAGAGGGGAATACTACTTTATCGCGGAAGTTTGCAGAGTTAAGCGCAAAATTTTCACCACAATATTTGCCACGCAACCATATGCCCAGCGTCAAAACATTAAATTTTATCTGCAAAACGTCTTGAAAGATCCTGGAAAATCTACGCGATACTCAAAGAATCAAGGGTTACAGTCAGCCATGGATAAATATATCTGTTCCGCTGATTTGTGTTGCTTTATGCGAAACCCTAAATACAGGCACATTTCAGCAGTCAGCATTTGACAAGTGGGCCTTGGTGGACATTCCCAGAGTCGGGACACTTGGTGAAACACGAAACGACATCAAATGAGGAAAGATTATTGAGTTGAAGCAAGAATTTTAAAAATATGGTTGAAGTACGTAATGTGGCTCAGTGGAACACAACACAAGTGGGGTCGGGAGCACAACAAAATTTGGAAAAGCATGGAGTAAACTATAGGACATCAAGCAAAAACGGAGGAAATTAGGACCACGAATATGCGCCTGAAAAGCAATTTGAGTACACCACAAATTGGCAGACATATTTACATACATCAATAGAGAGTGTGAATCTAATGCGAAATGTTGGAATTCATTGACTCACGCACCAGGCTCCGATAGCTCGGCCACGTCTTAAGCGTGTCATCCCACCGACTCCCGCGACCTGAGTCGTTTGCTCACCGGGGGTGTGGATGGAAGAAGAGAAGTGGTGGCCAAGTGATGACTTAGTCAAGAGGAATGAAAACCCTCACTTCGGAGCTGGCCACGGTTGGAGCTTCACGACTCCCTGGTTGGGGTCCGGAAGAGGATGAACATGTTTAGCTACATACACTTGCTGACATGGCTAGCAGCCGACTGCAGTGGCGTTCCTGCTGTGAGTTTCTTTGTCCCTCCCCATCCCTTCTAGCCACCCCCTCCAACCAGGATCTCATTTCGTAGAATAATATAATTTTACAACATCATTTTTCTTGTTGCCTAGTAGCTGGCTGGTAGCTTTCCGGAACAAGGCCCATCCGTTGCTAGTAGCTCTGCTGGCATGCAATTGTTGCATTTATTTGCTTTCTTTCCGGTTTATGTATTGTGGCACAGTAGCTGAGGTCTTTTACACCTCCAGCTAACGTGCATAGTGATGATGATGATGATAATTGACGCAGAAATGGGGATATCAGGGGTAAAATGAGGTAAAACTTCACCGGGACAAACGGTAACATTACTCACATCTTCGGTAGTACACAGCGATTGTACCATTCCAAGAATGCTGTCATCGCTTGTGGGACTGCATCCGTGACGCATGTATTGATGTAGTGGGATCAGACCTGTTCCATCCGGTCGAGACACATACATGGAACAGGACTCGCAGCAGGTGGCACACATCATTCCGAGGAGGATGCCAATACTCCTAAGCTGAACGAGGAAAAAGGACAAAAAGCAAACTAAACATTTGATTTCGAGACGACAAAATAGAATATCTAGGTGGCCCAGAATAGTGGTGAGTGGAACATGTATGTTGGCCACGCAGTGCCGGTAGTTCTTGGTAGCTGTAAGCAGACGGCTTATAGCGGGCCTGTGCAATATGTACACAACCCTCCGGATTCACATTCATTTTGTACTTTAAGCCTCCTCAGACGTTTGATATTACGGCCTGTTCCTTGTGTGCCTGTACATGCTTGCGCGACCCTTAGTATTTCTGTGCGTGTGACTATTTATGTGTCACGACTACCGACTCTGCGACCAGTGCCTTGATCGATTGATGTGAGCTTTCTCACTACCGGTCCAGTTACACAAGTATGCATCACACACTACTCCCTGGGTCATATGAACGTGCACAGATCGTATCTGACGTATGCTGACCGTCAATTAAGAGCTTGAGCGATTATTTACCCAACGACTGACAGCTGAGGTAACCTGTACACTTTTGGGCGGCCGATGACGTTGGCGATTTTGTATGCATTGGCTGTTTTGAGTACTCATCCCGCGCTTTGTTGCAAACAATACCACGCTTTGTCCTTATTAGGGAGGAGTCACGCGGTCTCAACAAGACGTACGTTCAGATTAAAGTTGGGAATAGAAGCTGCTGTGAAATTTGGCGGATGTTGAAACAACTAAGTTGGGGTACTCGACGTATATCAACTTCTGGTGTGGAGATGGAAAACTGAACTATAACTGATGCAACTGCTACAACAATCTGATCTCTGACTCATCCCTTGCCCAGTCTAACACGTCCGCAGACTCAGTGGCCCATATCGCCAGCGACAATGTGCAAAAGGCACTGAAACCGGGGAAAACAAGTGGTTCGGATAGACTGTCATCAAGTGTGCTGACTCTTTGGCTAAACTTTAGCTGCTTTATATACATTTTGCACTAAACAACACAAACTTGCTGACCGTTGGGTAAGTGCCAGTATTACACTAGTATCAAAGAAGGGAGGAAGCAAATATCCACCAACTGCTTGGACATCGGTATCCCTTAATGTGTTCGAGAAAATCATTCACGAGATGCTGATATCAAAGCGGTCAAATGGCTCGCTTCAGTTTGTCAACCGCAGTTCCAGAGCAGTCAAAGACGCAGTAGCCCGTCTTGTGCATACGGTTCTGTTATCGTTGGACAAAGAAAGTAAGTCCACCAGAATCTGTTTTCTGAAATCTAGAAACATATTCAACCGTGTAAATCGTGAATTACTGTTGAAAGCTCTACTCAAAGCTAAGATAAATTATCCCATCGTCCTTTTGTTGTTATTTTACAGGTCATACTCAGGTCACTCGATTTGGAGACTGAAGCTCTTCGCCACTAATCACAGACACCGGTGCTCTTCAAGGAGCGTTTCCATCACCATTCCTAATTTTCTTTTATGCCAACTCAATACCAGACCCTGAGGAGGCAAATCTAATAAAGCATGCAGATGATATTGTGCAGGGCGTCAATCAATCAACCACGACCTCTTAAGTTAGATTACAAGATACTGTTAACGAGCTCAAATTTTGATCGAAAGCCGGAACACTTTGGCCGAATGCGTCAAAATGCAGTGATGTCGTTTTTTCCCTGCATAGAGAATATCGGTATCGCCAGCTTCTCAAACCGTGTCCGGAACTCCACATTGATGGCGAGAGGTTGCACTCCTCTACATCAATGTAGTACCTAGGTCTCATGCCTAACTACGATTTATCTTAGGCATATCATATGAAAGAGAGGTTCGCAAAAGTCAAGAGATTATCGTTTTACGTCTAATACTGTGAACTTGCTCTGTCCGCATGATTTGATACTTTGTGTTGTTAGTGCCTGTGTTCTTCCAGATTGGGCGTGTCGCTTTCTAGTGATTATTTGCGCTCTACTGGGTAAGTAATTCGGAATAACACTTGTCACGATATATCAAAGCTGACTTTTGCTGATATAGTTGTGTCCACTCATGTTAGTTCTTGCAAGAGTCTAGGGTCAACAACACTTATCGATACAAGTCACCCATTTCATTGTGTGTTATGGGAATATGCCGACCTCGTCAAACAAAAGTACAAATTCTTGTGTGCCCAAAGATGAGCTTACTGTTCATAAGTTATTCCTTATATAGCGTGATTGTGGTTAGACCGTGACAAAGTCGTTCGAGAATCAAGCAATCAGTTTACGCTATGACGGTATTGTGTTTCCCACTTATTAATCCACTTTTTTAATCACATCCATATCGTTTTACATCACTAAAATCGTATTACTGCTAGCTATTCACCCGTCCTGGGTGCCTTAAGCCCTTTCATGATTTGATTTGACTTGACCATGTTTGTTTGGTTCTGCACGTTAGTAATGCCCTGTAAATAGCACCAAAGACTTTGGATCCAACGTGATTTGCACATTACGACTGCTTCTTGTGCGTAGCTCAGCGGCTACGTTTTGGTTCGTACACGGCTGCTGATATTATGAGCTGAATAAAAAGCTAACTACGGACTTTCGAATTAATTCCGTGATAAATAAAATAGCAAGTTGCCCAAGCTCTGGAAGCAGCAGATGATAGACAATAATTACCTCAAATAGAAGATGGAGGAGGGAATAAGTTATAAGAGGCGATTTTTGGGTGATTCCAACCAGTGTCCACATCGACCAAGTAGAGTCTAAATGAACCGAGGTAATAACCAGTGGGGTGGAATAGTGGTCTGTTTCGCATGAGTTACATCAACATTTCTGTATGTGAGGTAGTATTGCAGACTAGTAAACGCCCAGCTTGAAGTAAACCTTATGGTTCGTGATTGTGGATGGTAAGAACAAATCAACTGACTTACGTCCTTACGTAAAAAGGGCGTATAAGCACCGGGCTGACATCAAAGAGGCTAGTATCTCATACTGAATTAATGACCTTTTGTGACTGAAGTACTTGGCCGGCAGTAAGCAGGTGTAACACTTCGGAAGATGAAAATATTACCCGCGTAACTCAACGCTTACACAACATGGACAGATGGTATTGTCTAATAACTACTATCTGTAGGAAGTTGGCGGAACACTCTCAGGTTATCGGGACGTGGGCGGGTGCTACCAAAGGATGGTCACCTGGTGTCGGACAGATTAGAGGCATAGTGGACAGACGGGCTAGCGGCTAGGCAATTTGATTAATCGCTGCAACCCTAATTTCTTAGGCCTAAAAAGGATGAAAAGGAAGCACTTACATTCTTGCCCATGCCGCGGGAGATGCAAGTGTTATTCCGTTCGTCCTTCACCGAGCAGACAATCAGCGTTGATCCCCGAATTGGATGTAGGCTATGCCGTATCGATATATCCACCGCCACATTCAAAGCTAGCCGGTAAGCTCTCAGCAGTTCGGAGGAGTAGGGAAGGCGACTGAGTGATGGTAAAGTAAAAATGCGAGTACTTGTTTTTATACAATCTCAGCAATAAATGAATGAATGGAGTCAGACACATAATTCGCTCGCTTGAATGATATGGAGGATTCAGAGAACAGTGTAGGTAGCTGGCGCTGGTCCATGACTTAAGGATTATAAGCCTGCCTTGTAATCTGGGTGTGTGGGTTCGAGCCCGCGGCATGGGCGACCCTCAACGTATCCTTAATTCAAGTGCGACTGGTGGTGGCTGGGCGGCAGCAAAGCGCTGGCACTGCACGCTGATGCTTTTTGTGGATTGATGATGAATGATATACTAATGAGAAAAGCAGTAGAAAGTTGAGCATACAAAGGATAGTGAGCTTTCAGAACTAAATTTCGTCATGTTTAAACATGCACTTTCCAGCTGGCAAGTGCTGGTCTACAGGCGTTTTGAGGTTTGTACTTGGCTAGAGATGAGGGAGAGTAAGTATTAAACGCTGGAGAATAAAGAACGTTTACTACATTTGCATTTGAACCAGAAGGCTTTCACTGCTCGTTAACCTTACGTGTTATTTTCAAGCGGACGAAATGAAGACATTTATGAATTCGACCTTAGCCATTCAGTTGTCTATGAAGCGACATTTCGGATTTCAGAGCGTGAGAAATCTCAGTCGCTTGTGAAGTAAAGATAATTCTGAATTAGTGACAACTTTATTCGCGTATTGCATGCGGACACGAGTGGACTGAAAGCAGACCAGAAATTGAGTGAAAAAATGGGGCAGAATAGTGGGAAGCTGGGAAAAACACTAAAGCAACAATGCTCATGAAAGCCCTGTCTAAACTCTTCCGCTTATGTAGCGTTGCCCCAAACAAGAGAAAAACAGAGTGAGACACTGTTAGCTTTTCGACATTGAACAGGCTCAGGTACAAATGCGCATTAGCAGAAGGGTGCAAAATATCGTCATTGTTAGCCTGAGTCGATAGTTCGATAATCCCAGTCTAATGATGACAAAACGTTTTATGAAAATCCATTCACCAAATGCATTTGTTTTTGATATCATTGCTTTTTTCTTTCTCCGAAGTTCCCTTTCTTCTTGATCGGCGCGCTAGAAATGAAATAGACGTGAGTTAGTTTTGTCAAACTCCAAAACAAAATGATGTAAATAACAGGTTTTGATCCCACTCTTAACTACAAAAGGTTTCGCTAGGAGGATCCACCAGTCGAATGATTGGACTTTAGTACAAAATTTCTGAAGGAGACTGTCGGCTACGTAGCGACTAGTGAAACCGCTACTGAGGAAGGACAAAATTGGCCGTTGTTTATATACTGTAAGCTGGACAACGGGTGCTGTTATTTAGTTTGTTTCACATGTGTCCAGGTGAAAAATGAGATTGATGGTGAATGTTGGATAAAGCTCTACGGACACAAAATATTAGCAATGTAACTGAAACATCCAATGTTGGATTAGTGTTATCAACGAGTATGTACTTTGTAAAGTGAAGGGGATTGTGGAAACCCAATTGTGCCCTCCATAAAACGTGGACTCTTATTAGAAGTAAATGGAAGGGCGCTTCGGACGTGCATCAGTAGCTACACCGACTTCATTCGAACAATTAGCGAACCGGCTGACTAAAAGACGAACCAAATCTGATAAGGTACTGGTATGGAAGTGTACACTTCTTAAAACGCAAAAGAGGGCACAATCAAGCCTTTCAAACCACACCTTGGCCATCTTTGATAATTATGGTGCAGAAACTGCTGGGAGCAGCTAACAACAGTAACGAAAGTAGAATTAGGGCTCTTTCACTCCATTTGACATAACAGCTGGCATGGGATACCTCTGAGAGTTATGGTTTTGATTGGTTCTCAAAGCTGAGTAATTTAATGACAAACGTTTCATCGCTTCGCTCAGTGGCATCTTCAGTGCACGGCTGCGTAGAGGAAAATCTCACTGAAGATGCCACTGAGCGAAGTAGTGAAACGTTTGCCAGTAAATTACTCAGCTCGGAGAACCAATCAAAACTTTAACTACCAACCCGAGCTATAGGTAGTTCGAACCTCTGAGAGTTGCATGTTATACGAAATAAGATCGTAGGATAAAGAAGTAATCTCGAAGAAAGGAGGGAAAACTTGAGGCAAACGTTGCTAAAGCAGAACCAAGTACCTAAGCTTGTGCGAAGGTTGAAGCGCGTGCATTTCAAATATTCAGGGTTATAGCAGTACAATCAGGATATAAAATTCACGTCAACATTTTAACTACCAAACCAGAACAAAGCTACCGAAGAACTCTGTGATTAATCCAAACTTAGCCTTAAGATGCCAGGGTAAAGCAACAGAAATCCATAGATAAAACAAGAAAAAGGCAGAAGAATTAAACATGCCTTGGCGAATAAGAAAGCCATTATAACGCAAATTCTGCTCCAGTTGATCAAGCACTGCGTACGCGGAGAAAAACCGGAAGGGAAACTGCTTGCTGGCAATAATTGAGTGCTGAAAATGCATAAAATATGTGTTTAAACTGGTGCTGATGACGGCAATAAAAGTAGTGACGAGTGTGAAATGGGGGTAACTTTTCAGTGAGCTCATGATATACTACATCTGTATCATATAAAAAGGCAAAGCTCATCCCAATTACTAAAAGTTGAAAGTAGGGGAAGGTTTTGTAATAACAAATTTAGCCTGTCTGCGCAAGTAGCCCACATGTTAGTTACTTAGTGCAGTTACTCGTATAAATTTTTCCACTGTCATTTACAAGAACTGTCGGTAGAAGCGTCATTCTAAATTAATAATTGTGTGATCTGACTGCGACGCACAATCTCAAAGTGCACCGTGATTCTCATTGAAGCGAATCTTGGCCAATTCGATCACTAGGACCGTAGCTGAAGCAGTTGGAAACTGGGTGTTGCCCCTCCGAAAACACTGCAACCCACTACGCGTCATGACCCAGTGGCTAAAAGGGTAGAGGTCACAACTAGCATTCCAACGGTTTCAGGTTAAAAGTCTGCTATCTCTACCCGATGAGATCGAACAAGGTCGAAACGCGTCGTGATGCGCGGTGTTTTAGGGTGGGCAAGGCCCAACTTCCATACGCTTCAGCTACAGTTCTAGTGGTCGAATTAGCGAAGGTTCGCGTCCTTGTGGTCACACATATTGGCGGCCCACCGTAGTCGTGTTCCTCGACATCAAAGGTGCCTTCGATTCGGTTGATCGATGTGATCTTTGGAACTGTCTACTCAGGAAAAGTGTGCCCGAGCAACATGTACATATCCGGGCATTATACGCGCGTAGCACGGGCAGAGTGAGGTCTTACGGCAAGCTGTCGCCGCCATTCAGCGGTGTGAGACAAGGATGCCCGTTGTCACCTTTCCTATTCAACTTCGCTATTGACGAAGTCGTGGAGATTGCATTTACAGGACATGACTCGGAAGGTGTGGCGCTACTAGCAGAAGAACGACTTCTTGAGTTGGAGTATGCAGACGATATTGCCCATACCTGTGACAGTTGCCAGACGTGCCAAGCCGCGCTGAACAGATTAGCACTGACTGTCAGCCGCTTCGGGCTTTGCTTTACACCCTCGAAGTGCAAAGCGTTCCTCCAAGATTGACAGGGATCGCCTCCTGCGCTGACCCTTGGTGGGGATCAGCTAGAAGTCGTTCAGAAATTCAACTACCTTGGAAGTTGTATCAGTGCCCTTAAGACTGATGATGAGATCACGAACGGTATAGAAAAAGCTCGAAGTGCGAGATTACTCTCGCCCTGAAGGGTAGAATGTACAGTTCAGCGGCACTTTCGACCTTGCTGTATGGTTGTGAAATCTCGCCCCTTAGATCGGCGGAGATGAAGAGGCTAGTTACGTTCGCCCATAGGTGCCTATGCAGTTTAGCTCACATCTGGTGGGAACACCACGTGAGCAACGAGCGTGTTCGACGCCTTCTTTATGGCACAGGAAAAAAACTGAACCACTCAGAACCGTCATTTCACGTACTAGGCTCCGATGGTTCGGCCACGTGCTGCGCATGCTAGCCCACGGACTTCCGCGACGTGAGTCGTTTGCTCACCGGAGAAGTGGATGGAATAAGAGGAGAGGTGACCAAGCGGTGACTTGGTCGAGAGGAACGAAGGCCCTCACTTCGGAGCTGGCCTTGGTTGGAGCGTCACGACTCCCTGGTTGGGGTCCGGAAGAGGATGAACATGTTTAGTTAGATAAACATGCTGACATTGCTAGCAGCCGACCGCAGTGGCGTTCCTGCTGTGAGTTTATTTGTCCCTCCCCATCCCTTTTAGCCTCCCCCTCCAACCAGGGTCTCATTTCGTAGAATAATATAAGTTTACATCATAATTGTTCTTGTTGCCTAGTAGCCGGCTGGTAGCTTTCCGGAACAATGCCCATCCGTTGCCGGTAGCCCAGCTGGCATGCAACTTTGTATTCATTTTCCTTTTCTTTTATGTATTGCGGCACAGTAGCTGAGGTGTGTCCCACCTCTAGCTAACGGGTATAATGATGAGGATAATGATGACCGCATCATTGTGAATCGCAGTCAACATTGAGTTTGTGCGTCGCAGTCCAATCACACGCGTACTTCAAGCTAACCCCCAAATCAGTCACAAACCGTTGTGCCAAGCGTTGCCTATAATGAATCAATGACTAAAGGGGTAGAAGTCTCAACTAGCATCCCAATGGTCCTGGGTTCGGGACTTGTTATCTCTACCTGATGAAACCAGACAAGACAAAAACGCGTAGCGGAGTACAGTGTCTTTGGGCGGCAACATTTAGTTATGAATGGAAGGATTTTGGTGAGTATTTTGTTCGTCGCAATCAGCCGACAATTCAGATATGTCGACCAGCTGTCCGGAAAAGCACCAGACGGCCGTTTCGCCCTATTGGGGCTCATCAGTGGTGCGCATCCTTCGGTCCTCTGCGGAGGATCGAATCAATGACTGCTAGTGGCTCTTGCCAACTAGCCCGCAGCTTATGCAACTGCGCTGGGCTAGTTGGCAAGAGCCACTAGCAGTCATGGATTCGATCCTCCGCAGAGGACCGAAGGATGCGCACCACTGATGAGCCCCAATAGGGCGAAACGGCCGTCTGGTGCTTTTCCGGACAGCTGGTCGACATATCTGAATTGTCGGCTGATTGCGACGAACAAAATACTCACCAAAATCCTTCCATTCATAAGTAATACCAACTCGCCCGTACGGATTCCACAAAATGCTATGTCGATTCATAGCTGCCGTAACCGGGAAGTCCTGACGCCGGAAGGCCGACCGCTGTCATCTGCATGGCAGGTGCCTGCATGGCAGTGGAGGATGCGTCGGGCTATATCGCATTTAGCTAACAATTCACGATAGTTAGATACCGTCCTCCATGGCGCAGTTGCATAAGCTGCGGGCTAGTTGGCAAGAGCCACTAGCAGTCATTGATTCGATCCTCCGCAGAGGACCGAAGGATGCGCACCACTGATGAGCCCCAATAGGGCGAAACGGCCGTCTGGTGCTTTTCCAGACAGCTGGTCGGCAACATTTAGTTTCCATCCACTGGAGGTATTACGAAGCAATACAAAAAGTGACGCCAAGGATTGCCCATTGAATTGGTGTGCTCCAAAAAAGACAGCTAATAGATTAATAGAAACTGTGTTCAATTGCGGTGGTTCCAGTGAATAGAAGAAACGGTTGCTGTCTTTCTTGCGGTGCGTAGGCATGTAAAATAGAAACGCACAATAAAAAATATAAATTTAAACGTAGGTATATGGAATTCGTCAAGAATGCAAGCAAGAGAGTGAATAAAACTTAAGTCACACAAGAGGAAACAGAACCAATGCATCGAAGTTGAGCTGTTGGAAGTGACATGACACCCATTTCTAGCCAAATATGAACGATTTTTGTCTAAATAAGGAACCATATGAGCGGCGTTCAGACTCATTCGAACCATTTTGGAGGTGTTCAAGCGCCATGAAATCGCCTCAAATGCAAGAAGCCTATAGCACCACACTAGTATTATAAGGCCACTATTTACTAAACTGCGTAGACTATGTTAGCTAATTGCTGCAAATCATCTCGATTCGAACACAAAACAAAACAGTGAGAAACAAGGTGATCGGGTGCTTACGGGATTTGTGAGCTTCTTTATAATTTCCTCTTGCGTGTCCATATTGACACCGCATTTGATAATATTTCGCAAATTACGTAGCATAGCCATATACGGTAATTTCCCTGAGGCTATGAGAGGAAGTAATTTGTGTGAGATAGTTCATTACTGGCAAGTGATAAATGGAATGGCTGTTCGTAAAAGGGAAAAGATACTTTCGTTCGTCTTTGACAATAAGTCGAGTTCGACAAGTTTGAGTTGTGGTTGTGTGAAAACAAGAAACAACTAAAATATATGTCATCAAGTGGAGTTTTAATTCAGATTATCATCCGGATAATTTATGCTTATCTTTCACACGTCGTTCAACGGGTGTCACCCACTGAGTTGCACGAATTCAAGTAACTGGATATAATAGCAAAGGAATCCAGAGATCAAATTAAGTTATAAGGTTAAACTTTCCGGCGCAAAGAGCACTGTCGGAACTATAAGTTTTAGTGTCCTGGTTGTGGCAGCTGAATGCAAAATAGATCGCTTCCAACCCATGAATTGTCGAAAATATGGGCAATTTTCGACTGCAGCCTATACATTCACAAACACTTTATGCCAAAGGGGTGTAGTTATCTAATACAGATTCCGAAGGTATTAGGACTAGCTTATCGACCAATAGCATCAACATCGAGGGTAAATGAATATGGCTCTGTAGAGTCAACAAAAAGTGTCGGTGCCCATAATTTCGTTGTGGATTCTATCATGGAGTGTTCTCTTGCGGAATCTCACGATGTAGGCGTCGAAGTGCTGCCTGGTGTAAGGTTAGTTGATCTGGATTATGCAGACGATATCGTCTTGCTTTTCGACGATGTTGGGGCGGCACAATCAAGCGTGAATAGCCTATCCAGAGTGGTCCCATTATTTGGAATGCACTTCGCACCTTCAAAGTGCAAAGTGTTGCTGCAGGACCATCAGCCACTTGGTGACCCCTTGACGCTTGCTAACGAGGAACTCGAGATAATAAATCATTTCACTTATCTTGGCAGCTGCATCAGCAATGATGGGCGCATAGAAGCTGACGTCAGCTCACGCATTGCAAAAGCCAGAGCTACCTTCTTGGACCTGCGGCATCTTTGGCGACAGAAGGGAGTTTCCCTTCGCCTGCAAGGCCGTGTATACAATGCCACAGTGAGGGCCGTTCTGCTCTATGGTAGTGAAACTTGGCCGTTTCGGTCTGAAGATCTAAAGCGCCTTCAAGTCTTTGATCATCGTTGTCTGTGAAGCATTGCTGAAGTCGGATGGCACCAGCGTGTCCGCAACGATGATGTGCGTAGGCGAGTACTAGGAAGTGACAATCATACTAGCTTCCTAGAACAACAGATAGCACTGAATAAGTTACGTTGGCTCGGGCACGTGCTACGCATGCCTGGTCACCGCTTACCTAGGAGGGCCATGTTTAGTCTGCCAAGTGTAGGGTGGCGCAAGGCTAGAGGTGGACAGAAGTTGACTTAGCAACGGGAAAGGAAGTCACTGACGACCAAACTGGTTGCCGTTGGTCTGTCTCGCCTTCCGGGCTGGAGTCCACGTGACTCACCTTGTGCTTGGCTCGAGACTTTACAGGACACAGCTCGCAACCGACACCAGTGGCGCGTCTGCTGCCGTCTCCTAATTGGATTGCCTGTTTAAAATGTGTTTGGTGCTGAGTTATCTGCGGGGTAATGGCTGATTATGACGCGGGGCAGTGAAAGCCGCAAGGAAGCTGTCTCGCCGATGCCGCCTTATCTTTGCACGATAGCCAGCTGTTTGTGACGGTATCTTGTCTACACAAGGTGTAGGCGCCTTGACACTGAATATTTGCTTAGGGCATTAAGGTTTTCAGGTAAGTCCCCCTTATCTCCCTCTTCTTATTCTTTATTTCATAGGTCCTCATGGTTGTATGGCAGCGAAGCATCAGTTCAAATGGCTGATGTACTGCTGTTGATGCTGCTGCTGCTGTCGGTGCCCATTTGTGTATCACGCCACTTATAAACCAATGCTTGCGTTGTCTACTTATGGAAACATCGCACCCGACAAAACACGAGTGAATTGGGAAAACGTCGGCCTGACAAATTCTGTCTATGGTCCGGCAAGTGAGTCCTTGGAAAAAAGCATGGAACTAATGGCTCCATAAACAACAACCAATGCACATAAAACTAACGTCTTTTTGGACAGCCAGTCGTCGTCGTCATCATCATCATCATCGCCCCTATCCTCATCCCCATCCTCGTCCTCATCCTCATCATCCTCAATACACGTTAGTTGAGGGTATGAAACACACCATAGTTAACGTGCCGCAATACAAAAAGGCAAGATAAAAGTTGCACTACAAAAATTTCAAAAGCAGGTAATATAATGTTAAATACTTTACATTTCGAAGTCAGAGTTTTCATTTCTCTCAACCAAGCCATCGCTTCGACTCCCCTCTTTCTCTTCCAACCGCACTCCCTGCGCGCAAACAATGCACGTCGCGGGGTCGGTGTGTAGGCGTGCACAACACGTGGCCAAACCATCGGAGCCTGCTACGTTATATAATAGTGCTAAGAGGTTCGTTCGCTCATCCCGCGACGTCAAACACGCTCATTGCTCAGGCGGTGCTCCTATCAGATATGAGCTAAACTGCGAAGGCAGGGAAGTTCGGACGAGACTAGACTCTTTGTATCTGTCGAGTTGATGGGCCAGGTTTCACAACTGTATAGGAGGGTTGAACGGACGGTTACCTAATAAACTCTGCCCTTCAAGGCGACAGTGACGTCGCGTCTGCGCCACAGGTGGCGGAGACTGACAAAAGTACCTCGAGCTTCCGCTATACGGTTCGTAATCTCATCTTCGACCCCACGGGCGCTAATATAGCTGCCGGGTACTTGAATTCCCGAACAGTTGCTAGCTGATCTCCACTAAGGGTCAGCGCAGGGGTGGGTTCTTGTCAATTTTGAAGAAGTATTTTGCATTTCGATAAAGCAAAGCATAGCCCAAAACGACTGCCAGTCAGTGCTAAACGGTCCAGTGCTGCTTGGCACGTTTGGGCGCTGTCACAGATAAGGGCAATATCGTCCGAATATTCCAAGTCAAGAAGTCGGTCACCAGGAACTAGCTCCACGCCTTCTAGTTCGTGTCCAGCGAATGTTGTTACCAGAACTTCGACAGTAGCGAAGTTAAATAGTAAAGGTGACAGCGGGCAACCTTGTCTCACACCGCTAGAGATACTGAAGGGCGGCGACAGTCTACCATAAACTTTCATTCTGCCCGAACTATGCGCGTACAGCGCTTTTTCCAGGTGTACGTATTTACCAGGCGCACCTTTTCTCAGCAGGTAGTCCCAAAGGGCACATCCATCCACCGAATCGAAAGCCCCTTTGATGTCGAGAAACACGACAACGGTGGGTCATCAATAAACATGGCGGTGCTCCAACAATTGACGCACAGTGGAGATGTGGTAGATGCAGCCCCGACCATGACGAAACCCTGCTGGATCTTCGCGGATTTGGCTTTCACAAGCACCTGTCAGTCTGTGGAGAACGACAGAGGCGCGAAATTTAGAGGCAGTTGAGATCAGACTGATCCCCTATGACTGCCGCATTTCTAACGGGAGCTTCCCTTGAAAATTGGGAAGATGGAGGAGCGGCTACAGTCTATCGGGACAGCTTTCTGATGCCAAAGTTCTATTAGCAACTCGTGTAACTCGTCTACAAGAGCAGGTCTCCCGAATTTAAAGAGGGCTGGGGAAATTCTATCTAACCCTGCGGCCGTATGCAATTTCAACAATCTGATCACACCTTCGACTTCTACGCCTGATGGCGGATCTAAGGAGACGGCCCATGAAGAAGCGCACTCAATGCCCGAAAGAGAAAGCGATAACTCCGATTGGTTAAACTGCCATGCAAAGTGTTCGGCCCAACGCTAAAAGCGTTTTGACAAGCTGTGGATCGGCTGTCCACTCTCATTGCGTATTGTCTCGCTAAAATCAGGTCTGCTGCCTATTTCCCGTATCACACGGAATAACTTACGATGATTACCAACGGCAGAGCTGTTATCATTTTAGATGCACGATGAGACCACCAGGGTTCGCGGTCTCTTTTTAGGCTAGCGCGCAGTTTTGGACTGTGATTTTTGTGAGTCGCATTGTGTTTGTTTGAATAAGTCGGCGAGCATCCATAAATTCCAGAGACTTTGTAGAGACAGAATGTCTAGTTTGGCAATTTGATTTGTCACATTAAGACATGCCTGCTGATAGTAAGGTTTGGCGAATATGAAACGATTGAACTTCGACGAGGTTCAGTGGGCGCTTACTCAGCCCGGATGCCAGCGCATTTTTGTACGCATTCAGAACATGTGGCTTCGCCAGTTGGCTGGTGCCAATGTAATCTGCGCGACGTTGCGGACGTGCGCCGAAACACACCCGAAGGTCGGCAAACACAAGAGCGTGATCGGAGTCCACGCTCATGCTCCAAATCGAGTGACAGTTTTGGAAATAGTCACTCAAGCGGTAAATAATCGCGAAGTGATCGATTTGTGCCCATGGCTGGCCCGAGGCTGGTGGGCGTCAAGTCACTCTTCTGCGGGTGCTATGTTGAAAGTTAGTGCACGCAAGCAAGTGACGAGCCGCTTGATACAGGTGTAGCAACCGCTCACCGTTATTATTACGAGAGCTTACACCATGTTGGCCACCCAGATAAAGCCCATCAAAGGATAATTTTCCGACTTGGCGTTTAGATCACCAGCAAGCCGTACAGTATCCTTGCTACTTCAGTAACGAAGGAGACCGTTAAGTTAGGGATAAAAATCATCGTCCACCGAATCAGGACTGCAGTTTGTGGGGGCGTACGCCGCAATGATAAACGGGCACCCTTTGGATAGACAATACCGGAGCAAATAGGTCAACATAGAAACCTGGTTTTAACATACATCCATCCCCGAGTAGCTTGCAACGAACTCTAAATTGGGCAAATCGTGTAGCTTCCAATACCTGAGTTACTTCACCTGTCTTCTAGAAATGTATCACACTGTTTCTCAAGATGTTGATGAAACACACCAATGATAATGCCGGCTGTAGACCGTAACGGTGCTTCGCTACAGCGCGACAACTATCAGTCGCGCGTGGGCTGAGTATACCGCGAGGACACCAGCCCTTATGCGGATTGCAAGCCAGGCGTGCAGAATACTTGGCCAGCGGCCGATACACACAAAGTTACATCATAGCAAAAATGTGGCAAGCGGGCAAGAAGGTATTCCGCACTACTTGTTTGATTAGGATACTCCGCATTTATCCTGCTTAATGGTTAGACGAACGTTAGTACAAAACAGTATGTAATGCCAACCGATAGTTAACTTCGATTTTTACGAAGTCGATGGGCACGATGAAGTGGAAAGACACATGGTAAAGAGTTCGTAGCATGTGGCAAAATCCCCTTCTATCTGATTAGCTCAGGTACTTTTAGATATTTAATCTAAGTTGCCCACAGAGCAATGACTGTTAACGGTAGCACCGACCCGCTCGTAATAATACAAGGTGCGGGTAGGCAACTGAAGTTAAAGTTTTCGTGAAATTGCACTAATGACGTTGCTTGGCCTGGCAACAAAATGTCAGCAACCAAAACACTCAGCTGGGAGATAAATCTGACAATCTGATGCACACCACGAGCTACAGGTAATGTTAAGTATAGTCTGGGATAGCCAAAGCGTGACAAGCAAGGTTTCTGCGGAGAAAATAGCTACTGGCATAACTGTTAACCGTTTACTTATAAAGAAAGAAATACGAATCAACCGCACCAATGGAGTCCAATTGGTTTTGTAAGTTATTCAACACACGCGCCCAAGTTAGGCAAGTACTGGCCAGTATAACTGCATCCACAAGAGATAAGCAAATGCGGCAGATGTATATATTTTGCTGAAAGACTATTCCAGGAAATGTACCCAAAGGCGCAATCTATCGGAGGTATTTGGGCATTGAAGTTGCACTGTTTGTCATGTACTCACGTAACTAAGCAAAGACGTAATGCAATACATTAGGAATCAAGCTTGTTAGCTTGTAAACTCGTAAAATTACCTTCCCATACAGTAGATTGATGAAATAACAGCAGTGATCTGAAAAGCTTTCTCAACGTTATGTAAAAAAGGTTATCAAGATCGAGGTAGACAAAAAGGATCTATTTTTACAAGATATGTGAATTAATCATGAAGAAAGAGTTAACAGTGGCAAACCGATTTGCCAAAGATTAGTTCACTATGTTTCCATACAGTGGATCTCATTCTGTCTCCGTTATTAGAGTGTTCTATGTATCCGATTAAATTTAAAATTCATGGTTAATTACCAGGTAGCGGGTGACTCCTGCGCAATCAATACACACAGAGCAAACACGTAAGGAAAAGTGATTAACGGATCTATAGATCGTAGGTGACACTATTTAGCTTAAGTATCCCAATTGTTATTATTGTACATCAGTACAAACACTGGGCCTAAGCGCAAATCGCCCTCAGTAGCGAGGAAGCGTATCATCACGAACGAGAGCAAAACATACGGCTATTACATATGTATGGTAGTGTATTCAGCAAGTGACTCACTCTGGATACAAGCAGATTGACTATGTTAGCCATCAACCGATGAATACTCGTAAAAGCAGTTCCAAGTTGTATCGTGAGTACGTGTGCGGGAAGAGAACGAACTAGTAGTGAGCGTAAACCATAAGCACGAGCAATTGGGGAATACTATCTTTCTGAAGACGTACACCACCCATTCAGCGGACCTGCTTAACAATCTGGAACTTGGGTTGCCCGTAAAACCAACTTAGAGCGATGGCACTTACAGTTTTATATAACAATGACGAGATCTAATAACCTAGTCACACCTAAGCAGCAGGATAGGTGAAACGCCGAGAGCCAATAAAAAACTAATACTGCGCTCCATTTGGGATCAACAGTTAATAACAAAAGGTATGATACATCAACCACAAAGTGGACTTTAAAAGAGCAGTTAAGATAGACAAAAAGGAAAAGGAAGGACAACTTTGACAAGGTGAAGCAATCTGGATCTTACAAATAATTTTCTCCCAAACCAGAGCACAATTCTTGTTTGTTGACAATTCGGTCTCCCAAGTCAGTGGAGTAGGTAACTTCATACGTGTTCCAGATAAAGTGGAATCCCAAACGCCATCCATACCAGCTTTGAAAAAATCAGAGGCGTTCGTAGGATAGGTTTTCCCCAATAAACACATGACTGAGGAGGTTGGGCGGTGAATGTGTAACAAGCGGATGAGATACTGAAAAGTCACTGGTATCGGCCGCAAATGCTTCAGCAATTCAGATACGGGAACCGGTTCGCTGGCGGTTTCAGAGCGCATATCTATCATCTATTATAAAATAAAACATTCAGTAAAAGAGAAACATACCTTTCGTTTGTGGCCAAGTCTCGACTTCTTCCTATTATATTTTGCTATAATTTCATTTCAGTTAATGAGCACAGGACTAACCCAGTTGGTATTCATCGAATTCTAAAAATTTCTGCACCATGTTACGACGCAGCACTTTTGGATAGGAGGGTTTTTTACCTAACACATAACACATTGCCTTGTTGCAATGAGTAAGTAAGTTTAAGATACCTCATAGTACTCGGCAACCTCTGTCCAGTCGGTAGGAAGGCAAATAACAGCAGAGAAATATTTGTCAATAAAAGGATGACACGACTTGGCGATGCATCCATAAGCCATAAGCAGGTTCGCGGTTGTTCGGATGTTCAACTCGAGGCGGCAATAAACAGCAACCTAAACAAAGCTGTTCGAAACTTTGCTAAACAACCTTCAAAATAAATTCTGGGTCGGAAACAGAGCAACAGTTCAGCAATTGACCGAATAATGCTTTCGTTTCAGCTTTCTTCAGAAACCCACCTTCGGCGATTGAAGAAGCTACCAATTGTAGCAACTCAGACTATAAGTGACCAAGCAATTATAAAGATAACAAAACCAGTCTACTTTGAATATGGTGTGAGCATGAGTATCCTTTTTAAATGCGCCGGTGAAGCTGCCCACGTTTAAAAGTTTTGGCAGGAAAGTGTCCTGCTCGGACACAACCGTTGGAACAAACGCCACTATTTCTGAGGGAACAGAAGCAGGTTTGAACCAGCTACATGAGAGCTGAGCTTGGTCTGTATGGATAGCTTTGTCATTGTCACCATTTGGCTTAGAATCTACGGTTTCCTTCGTCTTTAGCGGGGCTGAGTGTAGGATTCCTTTGTCCACATCAAAGTTAATATCTAGTAGTCGACTAAACGTAGAGAGCACAGGGCTGTTGATGCTTTGAAAAGCCCATGGCGGCGCACGCGTATTTAGCAGCTAATAGACAGTTAAATCAGTGTTCCAACCAACTTACTGAGCGGTTGAATTTTTCTGAAGACAAAAGTCTATTTTTTATAGAAGTAAGGTGCGAGCTCTCCATAATAGATGATCCAATTTCCTCTCTCATTTACGTTATACCTGTGAATCCTACTTTCTGGCCTCCTAAGCCGCTGATTCACAGTAACTTGGAATTGCACAATATCTCAACCAAAATACCGCATGCAAAGGTCAGATTGGAATATTTTGCTTAAACGAAAGCAAGCAAGTTGAAAGGTTTGTTATTAGTTAGCATATGGACAGTAAAAATGAATAGGTTAATGTATCACCAGTTTAAATGAATTATGTGGTTTTTGGGGTCCTAATGTCCATAGGACCCCCAAGCAATCGGACGTCGAACAAAGTAAGCATTGGAGCATTGGAAAGTAGAGAGCAGAAGGAAAAATCCTTCGTCAGCTTCATCGCCTTCCGTTCGTCACGGGGATCAAGGTGGACATTGAAAGTCGGTACCAATGGAGCCGCTGCATTGACACAAGAAGCAACAAGATCAGGGTTTACTCAACAGGTAAAATCCAATTGATGTTTGAAACATTCCTCCGACTGCGCGTCAAAGACATACACAGGTAGATTATTCCATTCGCTCACTACTCTGGTAGACAGAGTGACGTCACAATGGACCCGAAGTCGCCTTCGTTTAAGTAATTTCCAATGGTGACCCCGAGTCGAACTGAAAGAATTGAGTGGAAAGAAATTTTGCAATTCAACTCCAAGTTCCCCTCTAACGATACGCCGTGTGAAAAGCAAAATCCCCGCGATTTCTATGGTAGGCTAGGGAGAACAGGTTCAGGCACCGGAGACGATGCGAGTAAGGCAGGTTTCGGAACTCCAGAACCGATTTAGATCCTCTCCGCTGAACTTTTTCAATCAAGTTGCATTCAACTTTGGAAAGAGGATAAACAGCAAGCAGTCAAGACTCAAGAATCGGACGAACATGAGAAGTGAACAGGAGCCTGAAGATCTCCGGAGTCAATCGAGAGAAGGATTGTCGTATGGCGGAAAACAACCTGGTGGCAGAAGCGACTTTCCTCAAGATATCTTCAGTCGATTTTAGGTCTCGGGTTACAACGACGCCCAGGTCCCTCTCACAAATTAGAGTTCGGCAGCAAACACCCGCCGGTAGGATAAGTTCCAAAAGGTTCGGAGGCGACGATCGGAAGAAAGGAACATTTATCGTGATTTATGGGTAATTGACACCTGATCGACCAATCATGCAGCGAACCGAGACTTGTTTGTAGTAAATCCGCCTCATCTAGACAGGAAACTTCCAACCATATGTTTAAATCATCTACGTAAATCAGCCAACCTGCCCATAGTACAGATGCCAGGTCATTTATAAAGATTTTAAACAGTAAAGGGTTTAGTTAATGCTCTCTTCCATTCCTGCAATCCATGACCGACAGCATCGTCTTTGGTTTGACACAGCATGTAGGGATAAGCGAGTTGGGGGTGGAACTGGGCGCATAGTGCTCGGGGACTATCGCCGTGTTCACTGAGCACTTTAGCTCCGCGTCATATTCCGTAACGTTACTGAATCCGCGACCGCTGTCCCAAGGGACGCATCTTGGATGACCTCAAGTGGCTGAAACTGTGTGTCAGCAAGCTGCTTCCACTTGGCTTCCCTGGTGTCACTGTCAGAAAGCTGACCAGGTTGGGGAACATCCCTCACCCTACGCCAAATTCGCGACCTCGACTACTTCGCGTGGTCCTTCCTACCCCGTAGGAACGCAAATCATTACTGCGGGTTGCATTCAATCTTAAGGGTAGTGGTGTCAGCGTTAAACCGGACCTACCACTGGTAGATAGCTTGAAGTTAAAGGAGGCTATCAAAGACCTCAAAACTAGCACGGCGGCTTGTGAACAAGGCCTCCGTCCGGTGGGTTTTCAGGTGGTCAGCCGGAGGTCCTTTTCCGCCCTATTAGAAGCCATCCTGATGACACACGACCCAGGGATGATCGTGTTGACTTCCTCTAAGTAGTACTTTGCAACGTGCGTAGCCTACGGAACAGGGTGAACGAGTTGGGTCTACTGGTAGACAAATCGCGTCCCGACATACTTCCTATCACTGAAACGTGGTTGTCTCCGGATATCACGGACGGTGAGGTATGTTTACCTAGCTGCGTGCTGCTTAGCACTGATGGCTCCGTTGGTCGCTAAGGCGAAGGTGTTGTACTGTATGTGAGCTGTAACTTAGATGTGTTGAGGATCTGCACATTCCAGTCGTCGGATCAGTGTTGAAGCCCTATCGGCTGTTTTGTGCACTTCCTCTACCCAGTTTACAGTTAAGGTGATATACAGGAGTCCTGGAAGTGCTTCCAGGGGATACTTGAATTAATTCGCATTCAGTCTGCGAATAAGTGTTTATTTCTAGAGGATTTCAACCTCCCGTAAGTCCGTTGGGTCGATCATTCTTGCAATTCGGCATCAGGAACGTTGGGTGCAGAGTTTCTTGAACTGACGCTCCAAGTGCCTTTGCACCAGTTCGTGGCCATTCCCACTAGGTAAATGGATGATTAACTACCAGCTAGTTTAGATTTGGTTTTGCTACGTCTCTCGACTTCGTGACTGACATTTCCTACTTTGCACCCCTAGGGTCCAGCGATCACGCATGCATATCCTTTCGATGTGCTCTTTCAAGGCACCACGAGACCGCTGTTGAATTACTTCGGAACATTTGGCGGGCGGACTTTAGTGCAATGCGAACTAAGGCTTCAGTTCTGAACTGGGAGAGCTCGATGGCTGACTCTGTCCAATTAGCCTGGGATAAATTTAAGACATACCTTACGGAGGTTTCCACTCCGCTGTATTCCACTCATGAGGAAAACAGAGTTAAGGGGCGCAGCCTCCATGGATGAAGGCCTCAGGCAACTACCTTCTCAAGAATCGGTCTAGATGCTGGCGAACCTGCCAAGCAGAGTTTTGTCCTGTCTTACCCGAATAGTGGTGCCAGTTTGAAAGGTAGGTCAATAATTGAACATTTTGCAATCTTGCTTATTGGTACTCTGTGGAGCAGCGTCATGTCTCCGGAGGCTATACAGAAAATAATACTTTAAACTTTATTTAAACAAATAAATACACCTTGTATTCTCGATACGGCAAGACACGCTTTTACAGGCATGATCATTTTGAGATAACTATACGCGAGTAAGCATTGGCAAAACTCCGATATGTTTCCCAACACTGTATCTGTTTGTGTAGTGGGTAGATAAGTGGTTACTTCTATGTGTGTACCTAGTTGTGTAGTTTGTGCTTGTACTTGTGTTGCCCCATTCTTGAATGTTTGATATCGTCAGCAACGTGCAAGTAGAAGATTGGTGCCAGTAGCTTGGAAAGGAATATTCGGATAGCCACGAGGCAGCGAGGTTAGTACGTGGCGGGTCACAACCGCCACGTCACAATGTTTATAAGCATATAGTGATGGCTTTTATAGGGAACACGCTTGCCGGGAGACAGCTCACCACGTCCTGGTACACTGCCGCCAAACTATTTGCTGGCACGGGTTGAACCCCTAAACACCCAGCTGGCACCAGTAGGAGGTTGTTCAGCTAGCCTGTCACTGAGCGCGGATAAAGCCGAACCCAATTGTTCGGGTCCCGAAGTATAGCAAATTGTCTGTACTGACGAATCGAAATTCCTTCCGGGGCGAGTTAGTTTGTTTGGGAAACTGGCTTGCACAGACAAGTGAAGGTAAACGTAGGGTGCCTAGCTCCAGCTGTATGTTCCGATAAAAGCATTTGTCGATGAAAGAAACTAGTGGAACCATATTGTTCTGCCGTAGTGCAAGGTAACAACATAACGTAAGGAAAAGCGGTCGTAGGTTGGTTTTGATTAACTAATTCCGTTCAGATTTAATGTTTAGAAGGAGTGTGCCACCCATGGGTGCAGAAGAAGTAATATCGCCGGGTTAAGAGTTGGTCAGCACGTAAGACGTCTATCTCAACATTAGTCACATCGGCGGGTTGCGCCTGTCTCAAGTATGTGGGAGAGGAAGCAGCCAGCAGCATGGCAAACACAAATAGGTTAGGTGAGAAGGTCATTGCGAAGTGCGGGGAAAATGCGGCGAATAGTTGACATGGTTGTCATGCGAGGAATATAGGTTCAGGAGTTTACTTTATGTAGGAATATACAATTCAAAGTGACTCAGTGCTGGGTAATTAGGGAAACTAAGAGCGGTTGTGGCTAGAACAAGACGATGAAGAAAGGAGACCACCTGAGGTGAGGAAGACCATCATGCACTTCAGAGCCATGAACCTGCTAGACGAATAGGTTTTAAGAGGCGAAAGCGACGCTGTGTCCTTGAGATAAATAGCCGTAATTGTATACGGTTCGAAAGCGACAAAAGAAGACGGACGCTGGTGAGGAAAGGCCGAAAAATCCGACGAGGTAATATAGGTAGCGCAAGCAAATATATAGTACTAAGCACGAAAGGATGGTGGAGATAAGAGCTGATTGGTTAAGATAAAAGACGCATTTTTGAATGGATAGTACAATGGGGGAGGAGTCTGATGTATGAAAAGCATACATATCGCCGAATTCAGCGGTCGGTCAGCCCAGGAAAAGGATATATCAGGATAGACGACAGCGGCGCGATATTCTTGAGTTAGGTAGTTCTAACTAAGTAGGGTTGAAATCTGCCAGCGTTGGGTAGACGCGAGTGAAATAAGGTCGACAGGGCGATTGAGAAGAGAGGTGTGTAAGTGAAGCAGTTAAATGGAAATGAGAGCAAGCGTTTTGTGGAGTAGTTGCTTCAGGAAACGCAACTATCTAACTGCACCCTAATTATCCATATCTTCGATTTGCTAGGGTTTCAGCGCGTGATTGCTAGTCGTTCACTGCATAAACTCGCTCAGAACTGCAGTTAGACAGAAATCCATGATGGACCATGCAAATACAATATTTCGCCGAGGAAAATAATTCACTTCTACCGAGGATTATTTGGGTTATGTAACGGCGAAAGCTTCACGAAGTGTGGTCGGTAAACTTAGTTTGTATGACCATAGTCATGCGACAGAGGAGGTAGGGAAGGCACGGGCTGTTGCTCGTTTCTCAAAAGATAACCAGCGGATAGTGAAC